GATTATTTAGAAGCGCAACGTCGGACGGGTCCTGATCAGTTATGGGGAAGATTTTAAAGGTATCTCGATACAGATATACAAAATATACACGGAGAGAATTTTCTCTTAGCACAATAAAAAATATTAATAGGTACATGGTAAATTTTACTATGTATATAGTAGAATTAATCGAGTATATTTTATATCTTATTGTGGTAGATATTAATAGTTTTATTGTGGTAGATATTAATCAGTAAGACTTCCAGGGTAAATTCTAAGAGAAAATTCTTTAAATTATATTTTATCATAATAATGGTAATATGCACAAAATGTACTGAATAATTCTTTCATCTTTGTTAATATTTTTGTTAGAATTGGATCATTCAAAAAAAATGATGATTGAAAAAAAAAACACTAACGATATTCAGACATAAAAAAAATTTAGCTTATTGTTACTAATTGAAGTTAAAAATTAATACATTTTAAATTAAAAAATTAACTTTTTAACTAATTAACTAGTTATTACCCAACCCTGATTGTATCAATACTTGATTAGTTACTTGCAAAGCAATTTTTGTTTAGCGGCTAATAACTCGAGGCTGCCTCTCACGTTTTGTCGCCACAGTGGGATGCTCTTCCGCTGTGTTTTTTCTATAAACCTGGCACTAGCTACAAATCAGTTTCACGTGACTCGCGCGGTCGGAGCGACGACACACTCGTGCGGAAATAATGCCACTAATGGAGAAAAATCGCCCAGGTGTGATAACGCGGTGTGCCTTCGTATCCGCTAATGTGCTACACGATGTGCTACAACTACCCGCGCAATTAAGCGAAACATGTCGTCGGGACGTTGAAAAAAAACGAGGAAACACACACGTTGTCATTAGAGAATCCTTTTCGCAGCTAAGCATAACTAGTAGACGTAATGCGTGTTTATATTAAATAAAATATACATTAATCCTTCCGTCGATGCACCATTTTTCGTCAATGGCCACCCCGTGATTTCAACACATTGCGGTGTCACAATATTTTTTTATTCTTTCCTGTCATATTTTACGACATATTTTCCAAATAAAGAATCTTTGTATTTCGTTTCGAAGAAAAATTCGGACACATTTTGACAATTGCTTTCGTTTACCCATTGATTGACGGGAAATAAAAGAGCAAGCGAATTAACAAGCAAATTTTGCTATCCAAATTACGCTATCGAATAAGATGCCGATGAATGTGTTCAATCCTTTTTAGCCTTCCTTTCGGCGACTAATCCAACTCAGGGTAACAAGTGCACAAAGTGATCTGGCGTTGACCTGATTTTCCGCGAGATTAATCCGTGATTCACTTTCGGAACCGTTCTAGTCTCTCTCTATCGACATGTGTAGGGGGTGGGAAGGGGTGGACTTTATTTTTCCACCCCTTTTATACGCGACGATCCCCGTAACGAGAGCGAGAAAGAGCGAGGGTTCAGGAGGATGGAAGTCGTCGACGCGGCCGAAGGATCTTCGAATTGGAGGGAATCGGGAGACTGTGAAATTTTCATTCGAGCTGCCAGTAACGCCGGAATGTCGCCACTGACCGCTCGCTGGGAATTCACTCTTGCTCCTCGCCTAATAACTCGAGGGATGGCAGAGAAGAGAGGGATGCTGCTTGTAACAAGGGATAATTGAATCAGAAGGACAAACGGTCTTCGCATATACGGATATTTTGTTCTCGGTTGTTGGGTTTTCGCAGCCGACCAAAAAATATATATTTACAATCCTGCGCAACATATTCGTTCCCGGATATATAGAGAGCGTAATGCATTTTTTTTTAAATTTTTTTAATCCACCCTCCCGTCGGATTATTTCTAAACAACCGTGGCGCGGTAGTGGCGCCCTCTCGCGGGAAAAAAGGGAAAAGAAAAAGATACGGCACTTAATTAATACGCGAGACACACACACACACGTAAATTTTATTCCGCCGAGGGTCGAAGCGCAAAAACGAAACGCGGGGGAGTGCAATTAATTAATTATTCCCTTATTACGCTACACCGGGACGCGCAGGATAGGAGGGGTGGAAAAGAGGGGGAGGGGGAGAACGAGACTGTGCACAGTCGTCTCATTTCTGACTACCTAGCGAAAATTTTACTAAAGTGCTGCTCATGTGGAAATGACATAATTCGCGTGCGGCAAGGGCAATTGGCAGTAATTAAAGTGGGGTAGAGAGAGAGAGAGAGAGAGAGAGAGAGAGGGTGGGAGGGCCGGAGGGCAGCGGGGCATGAATGAAATTAAGGTGGGTAGCGAAGATGACCGTTTACATGGGTCCACGTCTGCTCAACTCGCTCTCTCTCTCTCTTTGTGCCGCGACAATAAAACGAATTTGCATACGGGACAACTCGCCCCCGGACGAATGTGTCCCGTGTCTGCCTCTCGAGCGGAACATTTTCCTCGGACGGACGTACAGGAGTCATCGAAAAGGCCGAACTGCCGTGTATTAAGAATTTATTATATTCGACTTTCTCCCTCTTCGAATCACAAATATTGCGACAGCAGCCGGGAAAATATGTTTTATATTTAACAAAATTATATAGGTATAAAATCGTACATATATGCAAAGTTATGTATGAAATGTGTCCATACATAATTAGATAAAAGTGCTTTTTAATTTGAGAGATGATTATATATGAAACCCTTATAATTTATATGTAAAAAACTTTTTCCCGGGCGGTCACAAATTTTTTGACGTAAGATGGCTATTAATCATTTTACAACACGAGAGACCGTGAGATATAAAAAAATGATTTCCCTCGTTCTTTTTCCAATTTGCTATCTGTAATATTTAATTTGCACAGCGAGCCGTCTTATGTGGAAATTTAATATAATTAGAATTTCGCATTTAATCCTTCTGTCAGTGAACCCGAAGCAATATTAAATATTAAAAATGTGTGTCGGAATTTTTCTTCGTCCGTAAATAAAATATAAACCTCCTAAAATATACAATATTATATGAGAAAGAATCTTTATCAAATTTGAAGACCTTTTTAAAATTAAATTTGAATAATAAATAATATAATTGAACATAAAAATTGATTGTATTTTAAACAAAAATTATTCGAGAATAAATTAATCGACATTTGTCGACGGAATAAATATAATCAATATTATCTAGATATCTGAATTGCTTTTTCCAGATACATTTTACCTATTTTTTTTAATAGCCCAATGCTTTAAATTTTTAAAAGATCGAGACTGCAAGTTATCAACACCGGTTGAGCGATTATTAAGCATTCAAATTTTAGTACCATGGCGAAATAGTTTGAGTGATGATTTCTTTGAGGCATTTTTAAGACTAACGAATAAAGTCGTAATATAAACAAAGATAAAAGAATTATTCAGTACATTTTGTGCATATTACCATTATGATAAAATATAATTTTAAAGTATCTGAGTATATCTGTATCTACAAAATTTTCTCTTAGAATTGGAAGAATTTTATAAGAGTTTTACTGATTAATATTTACCACAATAAAAATATTAATTAATTTTACTATAGTAAAATTTATCTATTAATATTTTTTATTGTGCTAAATATTAATCAGAGAAACTCTTATAAAATTCTTTCAGCGCCATATTATCCTACGATTACCATGATTTTCAGGGTAAATTCTAAAAGAAAATTCTCTCCGTGTATATTTTAATTTGTGTATCCGTATCGAGATACATTTTACTCATCACTGAATGTTACAACGATTACATAAAATTGAGAAAATAATTCTTCGCTCACAATGACGAAATTACATCGCACGTGTCATAAAAACGTACCCACACATTGGATGAGAAATTATTCATCGACAGAAGGATTAAAGGACCGAGTGAAGAGACGAGAGAACTACGAAACACATCAACAAAGAAGAGAAGAAGAAAAAAAAAAAGAAAAAGGAAGAAACTAGAAGCGAAGAATTTTTGCGGCGAGCTCGTTGGTGTGCGCGCTCACTCGCTCGCGCTATATAACGTATTTGCGAGAGATCCGCCGCGCTGATGGACATATAATGCGACGTGTGATTGTAGGCCCGCCAATCGCGGCCGATTGTGCCCCTGAAGGCCCGCTAACTATCTCAAACTAGCCCCATTCAAGCCTCGCGACCTCTCTCTATCCGCATCTATCCGTCTATATCCATCTCTGTGGAGCCCGCCACCTCAGCTACTCTACCCCTTTCGCTTTCCCAACCCTCGGGTCCCCTTCGACCCCTTCTTCCCACCCCATTTCCGCGCTTCAAAGCGCGGCTCTAAGCGCGTCGAGTCTCCGCTTGGCTCCTCCGCGTTATACATATATGTATAATATACGTATGTATTTTATATATATATATATATATATATATATATATATAATACACACGTATATTATATATATATATATATAAAATATATATATATATATATATATATATATATATATATATATATAAGCCATGTAGGACGTACATGGAAATTCCGAATCTATCAGACGCCCAGACGAATGCAAATGGTGCATGAAACGCGCTTAATAAAGCCTGTACGCAACTTGCGAATCGCAATTTTCTTTAGGACGTGCTGCCCGTCACGATCGCGCGGGCTCGCCTGTGAAAAATTTCTGGCTTTCGTCGCGAGAACGACGCGATTCATCGGAATATTAAATAAATGCATCATTTAGCGGCGGCTTTTCAGCGAATTCGTGTCTTGAATACAACAAATACGAGACTATCTCCGCCTCCTTCCGTCCTTTTTTCTCTCGCCCGTATGGTCATTCCTTTTTTAAGTATTTCAGAGATGCGAGTGTTTGTATAATTCCCAATGTATACCTATAATTTGTCACGCGTCCGCGAAATATTAAGAGTATCTTTTTTTTTTAAGCTTATCGAAATAAAGTAATGAACGATTACGAATAATAAACATTTTATTATTTCCTATTTTTTTTTCTATGAAATATTTCTCTTTCTAAAAAATATACATATATATATATATATATATATATAATAAATTGTATTATCTATTGCGAACCATATATGCTGACATATAAAAAATATGTTTATAATTTTTTTACATGTATTTCCTCTTTCTATAAAAGAGTTTGAAAATTCATTAATTTCCAACTATTCAGAATTATGCCTTCTAATTCCGAAGAGATCGGAGGTTTATTTTATACACACACTCTTACGTATTTAAACATACTTTCCTACTTAAATTATTTCCACATAAATGCGTTCAGATAAACTTTGAAAAAACATAAAAACGATCATTTATATCAAACTGTAGTTCAAAAAAATTGAACATTTCGCACGATTGTTCTAGTTTAGTGTACATATATTCATCGGTCGAGCATGATGATTTGTTCGTTAAAAACGTCGTAGGATTTTGGACACATTTTTCACAGCAAAAAATTCGCTGCTATTTGCGGATCAGTCGGCATTATTTGTCATGCACAATCCATTAACGTCATTTGGATATTTCTGCGGCGGTAGCCATCTGGAAATCAAAAGTGACATTTCTTTCGGATGCAATACAAAATTTTAAAAATTGCCGGACAAGTCGGATTATTTGGTCATATACCTATGAATCACCGGAGAGAGCAGATTCCTGTCGATCGATGAGGGATCCCTCGCACCTGTTATCCAGGTGACTAACCCACCTATCACAAGTACCACCAGCGTGCCAAGAGGGGCAACCCAGTGGTAAGACAACCGGTATAATGGGAACACATCGTCCTCGCTGAACAACGGATCGATAAGAGTTCGATAGAAAAATATGACAGAGATAGAGAAATGAAGATTAATCGAGATAAGGATGCGCTCGATTTTTTTTCTTACGCCTATCTTGCGCGATAAGTTGTAAACGTTTGACTCACCTTGAGTATTCGAATTGCTTTAGAAAGTCATGATTAATATCCCCGTCGCAAGGCGGAACCGGAAGCTTCTTTGGCACCACGAGGCCGGAACCGATGGCCGCGTTTGCTCCGAAACTGGCCCATCCGGCCATCACGAATCCTGCAACGGCACCAATAAAGGCACCCTACGCAAAACGCGATGAAAAGTTGTGAAGAAAAACAATTACTCGTCCATCCGAAAATTAATTTGTAAAAAAATTAAATTGATTAATTTAGTTTATAAAAAAATTTAATTAATTAATTAAAAAGATTAAATTAAATTAATCAGATCTCCTCTTACGCGTACCTTGGAGTTTGCCCACGGAAATAAGACTCCCAGGGTGAAAACGCCGAAGGAAGTCCCGGCAGCGATGGCGGCCAAACTGTTCGTCACCTAAAAATGACGATGACGTTTTTTATCAGGTTTTAAAACAGATACTTGCAAGCTTTTTTCTCGACGATATAAAATCGAGACACACTCACGGCTAAAACTCCTCCCAGCTTCTCGATCAGGAACAGGAAGCTCAACGCCAGCAGACCGAAGAACAGAACAAGGACTTTGACGAAAATACGGGAACAACGATCGCTGGGTTTCATTTTAAAACAACCTATAACGAAGTCCTCTAAAATCACAACGGACGTCGAGTTGAAGCCTACGGATAAGGAACTGCGGCAGAGAAAGGGCGATTAAAGTTTATATTCTCTCCTGACAAAGACCTGAATAATTAAAATTAAATATTACCATTCATTTATCGTAAGCTGATTTTTAAAGACACATTTTTTTCTATATAGAGATTTATTCTACGATTGAAAGCGAATCAATAACAGGGTGTTTAGCGGTCAGGGAAATCTGGAAAACCGGACATTGTGTCAGGGAATTTTATAAATCTGGAATTGTCAGGAAAAAGTTTGGAATTTTATCTGGATTTTTTCACGTTATATATTTGGAAAAAATAAGCTTAAAAAGTCAGGGAAAAAATTAATTTCTGGTCTTAGAAAATCTGAAAAAGTCAGGGAATTTTTTTCATCGAGTCTGCTGGATATCCTGTAAAATCTTTTCATTGTTGACAAAAATATCTCAAAGATTTCACATTTAATTGCTTTATCATAGACACATGCAAATTATATATTTGGAAAAAATAATATTAAAAAGCCATGCAGGGAAAAAATTAATTTCTAGTCTGGGAAAATCTGAAAAAGTCAAGGAATTTTTTCATCGAGTCTGCTGAACACCCTGAATAAACGCGAATATTACATCCTATTGTTGCGTTAATTATATACTAGTATGTGGATACCTGAGCGCCGCGCCAAAAACTCCGGAAATGAAGAGACCAGGTATTCCATGCAGGTGACCTGCGATCTCCATGACATAAGCTGGCAGCAGTTGATCATCAGCCGTAATTAAGCCAGATACTCTTGGATCGCATTTTGGTGACGACCACCAGGCAAGGAGAACTAATCCGCACCAGCAGCATATTGAAATAAACACCATTACACTGATGGTGAATATCGCGATGGATCTGCAATCGCATTTCAAGCAGCGAGTAATATGCAAATATTTTATATTTTTTTCATTATTTTATTCTATCAATAAGATTAACCTTTCTGTCAAGGCATTATTTTTTATCAATGCATAGGACATATATCAACTGCGAATTTTTTGACACATTGCACTACAATAATTTTATTTATTTATTTTTTTTTAAAGCAATGCTGGGTATCGAACATTCTTTCCCGTTAAATTTTCGGAGGTTTCCGAAAGGTGCTTTATATTTAATTTCGAGGGAAAGGTTTCTACACACTTTGAGCACTTAAAATTTGCTTGGATATCCGTTCATTGACAGAAGGATTAAGGCGTCGACTCACATTTGCGATTGCCTCGTACTCTCCAACGATTTATATCGTTGCACCATAGTTTGATTGACGGCGATGTACGCGGTGCTGTACAACCAGGAACCAATCAGCACCGTCCAAACGGTGTGCCTCGTGTAGGGTGACGGATCGAAGCTGCAATATATCGGAATACAATATATGGTGAAAAGAAAATTTCAACCCAATCCCATTTTACGCTCTTTGCATTCTTACTTTAGAAATTCGATGCGACCAGCGTCGACGGCCTTGTTCCAAATTTCTGACATTCCTCCCAGCTGATAGGTGCCTATAGCAGCGACTGAGATAGCGGCCGCTATCATCACCCCGACTTGTAACGCGTCTGTCCAAACCACGGCTCGAATGCCGCCCTTAATAACAGAATGATGAAACAAGTTACATAGAAGGAAGGAAACTCAAATTTTTACATAATTTTTACTCCAAAAATTCTGCCAATTTCTACACTGAAAAAAATGACTAAATTAATACACATTAATATTTATTTGGTTTGAAAATGATTTTTTTCTATCAAATAAATATTAGTTTAAATCAGTCATTTATTTGGCAGTATTGAATAATTGGAATAATAAAAAAATATTAATATGTATATTTCACTTTTTGTCGAATTTTAAATTCAGTATACCTGCAAGATTTTCATAGTATTTATATATAAGTATTTTCTTATTACTTTGAAGAATTGAAATTTTTCACAATTAATACTTGAATTTTACACGGAGAGAATTTTCTCTTAGAATTTACCCTAAAAATCATGCTAATTGTGAGACAATATGGTATTTGAAAAATGTTATAAATATTTTGGCACAGTGAAAAATATTAATCAAAGAAATTCATAAAATTCTTCCCACAATTTACTATGATTTTCAGAATTAATTCTAAGAAAAAATTCTCTGTGTATCGTAAAATTTATTATATTACACATTAATAATTTTTATTGCGGCAAATATTAATCAGAGAAACTCTTCTAAAATTCTCCCAATACCATATATATTGTCCCACGATTACCCACAATTTTCCGGGTAAATTCTAAGAGAAAATTCTTTCCTACGATGCAAGAATGAAGAATTCGCGAAACGCGCGTTTCACGCAAATTTCTTTATCTCCGCGGGAGAAGAGCGCGCGAGAGAGTTTCGTGTATTTTCTGGAGAATAAAATCATGACGGATGCTTTTCAAGTGCTCTCGCAATTATATAACAGCATCCGCTCGCGCATGCGCGGGCCGTATAATAAACAAATTTGTAAAGAGCCACTCAACCACGATAAATTCTCATTAATACGAGATCCAACAAATTGCTCGGATAATTACAGGCGCGCGATTCCGCGATTAATCACTTCAGCGCCGGCTTTGTGATCCGCTGCTACGATAACATCCGCTCGACGTTCCTCCGCGCCATTGTTTCCTCGCGCGCCATTGTCGGGCGCTTTCAGTTTCCGTCCATAAACATTTCCAGTACTAAGGCTCTCGCGTGAGAGATTCTTCGCGGCATTGTCCACTGAAAATTGTTTCCTACGGTAGACCGTGTCCGAGGAACTCCAGCCATCCCGCGGGAATTCGGCGAACGGGCCACCCTCGGAAAATTAGCCCGGCCCGGCCGACCAACCCCTTCTTCTTCTCTTTCTTCACCCTTCTTCTTATTAAGATTCAAGCGCGAGCCTCGATACGACACGCTACGTGCGCTCTTGAGCCCTGATTTTTTTCCTCTCTCTTTAGATGCGAGATAGGCGAGGATTGTGACGTGTTAATTAAGAGGCATCGAATCGTGACTTACCAAGACGGTGTAGAAAACGCAGACTACGCACACAACGGATCCGATCAAGTGTATATTGATACCGCTCACTGAAATGGATGGAAGAACGTTCATGAATTTTTTTTCATTGGAAAATAAACATTGATAAAATATTTATTAAGGACATTAATAATTAATAAAAAATAAAAATTCACGTATCGACGTGTAAATATATATATGCGCCAATGAAATACCTTGATTTAAAGCCAGCGCCGGGACGTAGATTACGATGGATTGATAAAGAACCTGCGATGGATCGACTTTTTATTCGACTTTCCAAATAATAATCACGACAGCATTATAATTAGACTCTGTGTTGTGTAATCTGAGACTTACCGCGTCAAAGACGAAAATTAAAGAAATGAGGATCCGCACGCTCCGATCGAATCGGATTTCCAAGTACTAAAAGAAGAGTATTCAAAGATTAAAAGAAGAATAGATCAGCGGAACCAGGTCAGTGAATAAATACAAACGGATTGAACGGAACGAACCTCGTAAACGGAATTAAGTTGCAAGTTGGTGAAGACCGGGAGATAAACGACGGCGACCACGACACCGGAAAAGAAAATCGAGATGATCGTGATCCAGTATTGCGTGCCAAAGTTGTAGATCTCTGCCGGAGTGCCCAAGATCGTCACGCCTGATATGAAGCTACAGTTAGGATCGGAATCGATTAAATATTTTCTATAACTAATCTGTCAAACCCGATTCTCGAACGATAAACAACTTAACAAAGTATGTCAATTTTTATCTGATTTATTTCTCTATAAATACATACAGGATTATCGAAAAGTATATCGAACCGTCCCAATATTTTCAGTTAGAATGCATTTTGGTTGTATGATTTCAAGCGGGAAGTAAGATGATGACTTCGACTTTGACTTTGACCATGTATTTTAAGGTCATTCGAAGGTCAACTTTAAAAAGAGGGTAAAAGTACGTTCTTTCGAAATCCGAGGTCAAAAATAATAGGTGTTCCTATTTAAAATTTTGAAGTTGACCTTCAAATAATCTTGAAGGACATGGTCAAGGTCATCATCTTACTCCCTGGTTGAAATCATACAACTTTCATTTTCTCCAAAATACATTCTAATGAAAATATTAGGAAAGCATCCGATACTTTTCGATAATCCTGTATATCGATACATATACATTATATTGATATAATTAATAATATATTATATTTTATATTTACGTAATGTATATATATTGATAATTAATTTATTTATTTATAATTAATCAAAAATAAAAAATTTATAATTAAAAAATCTGGTTCCCTTTGAGTAAGAGCACAAATCTTCAGCTGATCTCCAGTTCGCTGTTCAGCGAATTAATCGATTCTTAATTTTTTCAAACCAACCGTTTCAAAATAATTTTTTCTTTTCTTTAATAATTTTTAAAAATCTCGCAAAATATTGAACATGAAAGCGCTCACCTGGCAACGAGAGAAGCGGAAACGGGAAAGAGTCCTAAGCTTCTTCCTCCGAGCAGGTAGTCTTGTGTGTTCGACTTTTGTGCTCTTCTGAAGTGCCATAAGCCGGCTGCAGCAGACACGAAGAGCATAAGAACAAACACCAGCCAATCGATCCAATGGAAGTAGCCTCTTTCCGATACGGTTACCATTTTTGCTGAAATCAGAGAATTAAATCTAATACATTGTAAAAAAGTTTTGCATTTCACTTATTAATTTTTTTCATCACGATTATATATAGAGAGAATTTTTTCTTAGAATTCACCCACACATAATCATGATAATCGTGGGACAATATGGCATTGAAAGATTTTTATAAGATAATTTTATTTCGAATTTATATTTAATATATATATATGATCTTTAAATTCTTATTGTAATTTTATGAGTTTTTCTGATCAAAATATTTACCACAATAAAAATATTAATATGTATTTTTTATTGCGGTAAATATTAATCAGATAATTAATGTAATGTATCTTAATTAATAATACTTGGGCTTATACCATATAAACTTATTTCATATTTTCGACAATCAAAATTATATTAACTTAAGTTTTTTACATAGACTTTAATTTGTATTGATATATAAAAATAGCACGTAATTTTATTTAAATTATAAAAGCATCCTATTATATCGATATGTAGCAAGATAAATTATCTTTTGTGTGACACATTTTTAAGTACTAACGCAAGTACGATCGTAATTGTCACATTATATAATGACTAGCACACGCGTGCAATATCGGAGCAAATTGCATGAAATTTAATCAGCAGTTTTGCTTGAAACAACCGGGATTTCCGCAACACAATTGTCCATCATTTCTGTCTAATTTTCATATATATTTATGCACTGAAAAAAAGACCCAATTAATACATATTTAGTTCAATACTGTCAAATGAATCATTTATTTGTTTTGAAAAGGATTTTTTTACAACAAATAAATATTCTTCATATCAAATAAATGATTCATTTGGCAGTATTGAAATAAATACTTATAAGAATGAAACAAATTTTTTTTCAACGCGTATACCCGAGCGAAAAAAAATGCTCTCACCAGCGACCTGTTTTGGATCAGCGTATAAATTCGCGAGCCATATCTCTTACAAAGTCGAAGCGCGCTGATATATTTTTAATCCGGTCCTTTGACAAGGAGGCCTACCGACATTGTGGCACATCGCCAGGCATATTTCGATTTAGTTTTTCGTTATCTCATGCATCATTGTCCGTCGACGGCGATACAAAGATCAAATAACAATGCGATAAAAATATGACAAGGATTTTATTATGCGGTTCATCGCGTCAATTACTAGACAAAGGATATATCGCGACCTCGTTGTTTAAGACACGTGCGTTTACGTCGTTAACGCTTCCCTGTTTAGAAACCACTGACCTATGGACTCCGTGCTAGTAATTTGGTCTCGTTAACGCCGAATGACACTATCTGTCTATCTCTCTCTTTCAGTTACACATGTTGTTCCCAATGCCTTGAAATTTCATCCCGCACTAACGACAAATTAGTCCACGAAGTAGCATCGCGTGGAGATAATGATCTTAATTAAAAAGAGATAAACAGATCTAATCAGAGACCGGAGATTCTTTTATTTTCTCATATTTTATTGCTTGAATAATCCTATAGACGATAGAGTGTGTCATCGTCACGGGATGCAATAAAATCATTACGGTGAGAGACGATTTCGCGCGCAGCGATAAGATTTGATGGTCAATGTTGTTTCTAGTCAAAGTCACCGAGTGGACTTTCTGCGGTTCAAAGTTCTGTTATTTTGTGATCAATCGCCGCGGGGTCAATTGCTGGAGTCGCGAGCGCTAACAAGGGAAAAGTAGTCCGTTCGTAAGCCGATCACGGGACCGCATCGGGATCGCTTTGCCGAAACGCTTAGCGGGGATTTACACGTCGTCGCTAATTAACTAATATTCGAGGAGAGCGAGTATCCGGTGATTCATCGCACATCGGACATTTTTTTCGAAATTGTGAATTTTTTATTTTTTTTAAATGTGTGTGAGTGTATAGTGTTATCTCGGGGATTTGAATATCTTGACAAAGTCAAACCGCACGTAATCGTTTCGACGACTCGTGTGTTATCGAAGCCTAATTGACACTCGGGTCTATCGACGTCAAATGTGCAATTTCGATTGCCACACGGAGAGAATTTCCTCTTAGAATTTATGGTAAATTTATGGTAATTTATGCTATTGGAAGAATCGTGTAAGAGTTTCTCCGATTAATATTTACCACGAGGAAAAATATTAATGTTATATTTTATTGTGGATTTTAAGATTTTTATATTAATATAGATATTAATATTTTTATTGTGATAAATATTAATTAGATAATCTCTTATAAAATTCTTCCAATACCATATATGGTCCCACGATTATCATGATTTTCAAAGTAAATAAGGAAAAGTCGTCTCGGTATATGTGGAAGATTATCGTTCTAAATTTACATAATTATCCTTCTGTCAACGCATAATTTTTCATCAATGTATATGGATACTCGAGTATTATCGCGTATTTTTGACAACGCATAATTTTTTTATAGCAGCTTAATTGCTATAAAGAAATTATTTCCCGTTCTATTTTGTCACATTCGTATATCGAAATTTTTTATATATTAATACATACTAATTATAAATCGATTAATTATCGATAATATAATAATTAAATTTGTATATAATTATCAATTAATATAATCATTAAGATAATACTTTAGAACCATTAATACAAGGAGAGAATTTTATTCTATAATTAAAATTTACTCTGAAAATTATAGTAGTAATTGTAGGATAATATGGTATTTGAAGAATTTTATAAATATTTTATAAGAATAATAAATATTAATATGTACATTACTAATAAAATTACCTTTTACATAGTAAAATTATTCGAACATATTTTACTTCTTGTCGTAGTAGATATTAATATCTTTTATTGTGGTAAATATTAATCAAGGAAACTCAACATTTTTCTAATATCATAAAGTCCAATAATTAAATATTTATAAGAATATAAATATTTATAAGAATAAAAATATTAATATGTACGTACATAGTAAATTTTATTAACAAAATTACCTTAATACATAGTAAAATTACTCGAACATATTTTATTTCTTATCGTAGTAGATATTCATATTTTTTATTGTGGTAAATTATAATCAGGGAAACTCCAAATTTTTCCAATATATTGTCCAACAATTAAATATTTATAAGAATATAAATATTAATATGTACATACATAGTAAATTTTACTAACAAAATTACTTTTACATAGTAAAATTATTCGAACATATTTTATTTCTTATCGTAGATATTAATATCTTATAGTAGATATTAATCTTTTATTGTAATAAATATTAATCAGAGAAACTCAAACGTTTTCCAATATCATATTGTCGAACAATTACCACGATTTTCCGGGTAAATTCGAAGAGAAAATTTTCTCTGTGTATTGTAGATAAAAATTGACATTTTGCCATTATTTATGGAATATTTCGAGTATCCGGGTCCTCACCTATTGACAGAAGGATTAAGCGCATCGCGACTCCGGAATTTTCAATTTCGTTTCAATCAATGAGTTCAATCCTCTTTCTAATATACATATATGTATAAAAGAATTATGTATGAGTGAACGATAATTAAATGCATCAACAGCAGATAATGGCTCTTTACCGACTGTTATAACTTTGCGCACGTGACAGTCGACGGACGATACACGATATATATTCTTGTACCGTTATAAATAGTCATTCTTTATATTTAGTACATACCTAGTCTGTTCAGACACATTCGTGAAAAAGTGCCTAAGGTGTGGTAAAAAAATATTTAAACCACGTAGACGACGAATTAATCGGCGATCGGTAAGAGTTACATGAAACATTGTTTATTTTATCGCACTTTTCCTCTCGAATTTTCCGCAGCAATTTATATTTACGTAAGCACAATTGATGGTTTTTTTCTTCCGAAGGAATAAGGAAAGAATTTTGTTGTCATTTCCTTTAACTGGATGCATTTTTTACGATAAAATGGTAGATAAAAAAGTGATTTCCCCTTCACACCATAATATTTGGGTATCGTTAAGTAAAGAAGCGGTTTTATATTTATCTCTCAAATACGTCTAAAGGACGTTCTCTAAATTTCCTACTTCTAAAATTTAGTCCTATTTTTACTCAAGGTTTTTGTAAAAGCGGAATGTGTTTATTCTCTTTTGCCAATATATATACATTCCGCAAATTACGAGAAGTGCGAGACACATTGTTATAAACTGAGTTCGTAATCATTCATGCATCATACCTTAGAGAACGAAATCTTTCTGAATCATATCCAACCGGTTTAGGAGAAACAAAAAAAACCCGGTATAATAATTGTGTTACTCAATACGTTAATAAAGAACCTGGAGAAGAATGTTTCTTAAACTTGTCTTTTCTGCCTCAAAATGACTCGATGAAAAAAAAAAATTAATTTGTTAGAATTGCGTCAAGTATTTTTCATATAATAAATATTTGCAACGTCAAAGCTTTTTCTTATTAAATATTTAACAAGTAGCATCACTAACCTTAAACACCACACAAGACTAACCTAGAACTATTTTATTTCAGTCTCGATCATCTTATATTTATTTCGTCACACTCGCTGATGATACATAATGAGCGGTGTTTTAAAAAAATCATTTCCTTTCGGATTACATAAATGATAAATATCGCTGGTTTTCAAACAATTTCCAACATACCTTTGATCTTCCGTTACTTCGTGTTTCTTATGCCCTCCTTCAAATTCAAAAATCTTATCAGTTCTATTACTTCATTCGGTCATCCGTGATTCATCGTCGTCCTAATTTTCTTATTAAAAAAAAAAAAAAAAAAAAAAAAAAAAAAAAATAAAATAAAAATAAAATAGAAAAAAGTACGAAAATATTGTAAAATTTGCAATCTCCGAATTTTCGTTAGAAACTTTCGATTCGACTCCTCGCGAGGTGGAACAAGTACATGGCGCGAAAGTTTATATACGTGCGCGATGACGCGGCGTGGAAAAAATTTCAGTGTTTCTCAACGCACGTGGTTTCCATACGCGTACTCGTGCACGTGCATCGACCAGCCACGACTCCACCGGTTATTACTGAGACGAAGGTAAGGTGTCGCGATGACGCGCGCAACAGCGAGTGAAGGAGACGTTCGCTCGCGAGGGACGACCGCGATCGACTGAGCGCGGCCGCTCCGCGGTGACGATTACGTCGTGCACGTACACGCGGCTTAAAAAGAGGTCGTATATTGATAATATCATAGTCGGCATAGTTTGAGACGCGGGATGATCTAAAAGCCTGCGAAATACGGAAAATTTCCTTCCCATGCAGCACACAAGTTTGCAGCAATATTGCAACGACATTGCAATATTTTCGTTATATTTTTTTGCGTGAATTTAATATTTCTGAAATGTTGCTGCAATGTCGTTGCAATATTGCACATTGCGTAGCAATATTATATAGGGAATTTGCAATGTAGTTTAAACAACAAATTGCAACGACATTGCAATATTGCACATTGCATAGCAGTATTGCAGAAATATTATATAGGGATGAATTTGCAATGTAGTTTAAACAACGTTGCAGCAACATTTCAGAAATATTAAATTCACGCAAAAAATATTAGGAACAGAACATTCAGTCCGATCATGTATTTAACACATTTCCGATAATCCCAATAGTAGTATTACATATTTATTTTATTGCGTTATTGCTGCAATCTTATAGAACAATATTACTGAAAGCATAATGTTGTAATATTGCAATGAAATGTTGCCACAATGCTGCTGCAATCTTGTTGCGCTGTATCCTACGCGAATCCTAGAATTCGATTATACAGTCGATCGCGAGGTAATATTAGCTTCATGTCAACAATTCGAAGTCACAACATCAGCGAATTATTATTGCAGATATTTGCAAACGCGCGCTTACAAACAGTGATATGATTCTTATTTTATATTGCAACATTTCAGTGGAGATTAAAAAACTAAGATACTTCACTTTTAGAAAGAATTAAATTATTGTAATTTAGAGTAAATTGATATTATATACCAAAGAGCGCTAATTACTTTGAACGAACGTTTTATTATAGGTATTATAAATGTACAATAATATACAACTATCCTTAATTCGATTCACAATACGGACAAACAGATATTTTTCTCTCGTTTTGTTTTTTTTGGGGGTTTTTTCTTTTCGTAACTGCAGATCATGTGAAACGAAATGATAACAGTTAATTACTGGTCACACTTATAACAAAAAAAATCAAAGAAAAATGATAACGATAATTATATTTAATCAGAAAAAGGTGAAATGTGGCCACAAAAAAGTGTATCCCCGCTAAAATACATAGCGTTTGTTGAAATGGAATGCAATTGATGCATAAAACGATACCGTTACAAGCAATCGTGTCAGAAATGTTATAAAAATCATTCGCGCAATCATGCAAGGTTTCACATTTATTTAAGATCATGAGCAAACTTCATTTTAAAAACATAGACATATGTTCATATAAATATGTCTATATAAATTTATATAAAAATGTGCCGACGTAAAAATTTATATAAATTTATAAGCTTATATAACATATGTCTGTGTATTTAATAAAACTTATACCAAGTGCGAATGTTTGCACTGTGGAGAAAAAAAAATAAGATCTTTTTTATCTATAATTTATATTCGCACGAAATACGCGTGCGATCCTTTCTTGAACGTACTTTCGCGATCAATATTTGTTGTTAATGTGTTAACAAAAATTATTGAATTACGCAGGAGAGAATATCTGAATATATAAATTCAAAAATTATTCATGAAAACTTTGTCTATAAGACATTGTGATATCGAAAAATATCCTTTTTACGTTATCGATAAATATATAATATGTAAAGACAATACTGTCACTCGACAGTAATAATCGAACATCATTAATATTTTCATAGACAATAAATAATGATCGCCAGAGCACTGCTTCTTGTTCCACAGAAAAAAAGTTGACAGCAAAAAAAAATGAAAATTAAGCGAAAATATGAATAAATGTGCACATATTTATATTCTCGCAATACATTTTCGTATGCAACAAACGAACAGAGAAAAAAACAAAAAATATATCGACATAAAATGCAGTTGCAAATGATGACACATGTATATCCACAGATAAATTATCGATTCTTAAATACAAAAGTTGTCAGCTCTTAACGTGGAACAAGATCAGTAACAAAAGTAATATACAAAAATCTTTGATACAGTCTGTATTCGGTAAAAAGGTAGTTTCATCACAGCTTATGTTGTCTTCCTTCGCCAAAGACCCATAGACAAGCTCTATCGACGATATACGCGAAGACAAAATCCGCGACTAGCATTTCAACCAGTATTGTACGATACTGCAACATGCAATAAAGGTATATTAGTTATATAATTGGCAAAAGACTAAATAATATATTAAAACAAATTATAACAATTAATTGTTCTAATTAATTATTTATTAATTGTTATATTCTCTCGTCCCCACACATATCCACAGATACAGAAATACTTACATGACTTGGAAAGTCTACAATTTCGAACTGTATCGCTACACCTGGCAGAAATCCACAAGCCAGTAAGAAAATGATGGCAGAAGTGCTCACAAGACTGAACAAAAGAGCCTTATTTTGTCCCAAACTTTCCATGAATGGCTGACCCTGTCACAATACAATGTAATCAATATTGATTAATATTTATCACATGCATTATTAATTCTACAATGAAACATGTAAATAACTCACTCGATAATTTATAGCGAAGGTAGAAACCTGAAGGGACATCGCAATTATATACACAGTGCTGTTAATCAAATTCGCCTCGAAGGGTTCATCCTCACTACTGTCATCTCCAGTCAGTGATGAATTGACTTGGCTGGAATTATTCAATATAGCTGCCAACTTATTGTCCCTATAAAAACGAATAATTTTGAAAACGTGTAATCATTCACGAATCATCAATCACCAGTCCCATTTAATTTACTTTACAACTTACTTTGGAGATAAAATAGTAGCTTCTCTTACTAAATAGACGAGACAGATAAAATGTACAGCAAACTGCAGCAATACAGTTGCGATGGTGTACAAATTAAAGATATTCGGTAGTGGTCTTTGCTGCGATAGAGTTTTCACGGGTTTCGATCGTGAGATAAAGAGAAAACAGGCCGCTAAAAGGACACCTTGCAAGGTCGCCTGGGCGTCGCTGAACTTGATTCCATCCAGATACAGCACTGACTGGCTGTAGGCGAGTATCAGTGCATTCAATGCTAATATTTTGAACATTTGCAGAGTGGTGACCAGTGTGCAACGTCCCTGTTTGATTACGTGGCATACTGTAAACAAATGAGCTCTTGTGTTTCTACTTAACATAACAAAAGAATAGGTCTGTTCGTTTTAGCTGAACTGGCTGCACTAGAGTTTATTCGACATTGAAAGAAAAAAGATGAACTCTGAACTAGTGCAGCCAGTTCAACTAAAACGAACAGGCTTAGTAATTTAGAAATATTCTACGAGTCTTACTGCATTGGATAGATGACATTTTGCTGGTGAAAGGAGCGGCGATGGAGGCGTCGCCGAGTTTCACGATCACACATTGTTCCTCGTTATCGATTTCCTTCAGGATCTTCTGCAGCTTCGCGCGAGTATTCAGCGGGGCGCCTCTCGGATTGGTCCTTGGTCCGTTGCTCACAGGTGACACGGAGGTGTCGTTCCTTGAATCATCCGATTGTCGTTTGTCGGAGAGTATCTTTTCGGGCGGACTAGAGAGAATTGCCACACCTAACAGAAAAAAGGAGGTAAAAATGGTAAAAACGTACATCAAATTTTTTCTGTAATCTCTTCAACTTACCCACTGCAGCATGTTTCAAGGCGCCAACATCGTTCGTTCCGTCACCGCACATCAACGTTGTATAGCCTAAAGATTGCAGCGACACAATAATAAATTCCTTTTGCTTCGGTGCGCATCGCGCGAAAATCACAACGTGCGGCAAGAACCTTTGAAGAAGCTCTCGTTGATTTTCTTTCAGATACGATAGACCCTGAAAGAGATAATAGAGAATGATTGTCGCGATCATTCAAGCTCGCAAAAAATTAGCTCTCATATTTATCTATCTACACACCTCGCCCGTTACGCAAAGCGCATAATCCTTCCAAATTTCTTTACACGATACGACATTTTTTACACTTAGAGGAAGCTGCACCGTCTTATCTATGCTTTCCCACAACCATTCGTCATCATTTTCCGTCAGTACGAGTGTATGAGGCTTCTTCGTGAAATGTAACTCGCGACTCACATGACAGGCCGTTAAGGGATTATCACCGGTTATCATGACGACCTATGTAAATATATCACAGTTACATTTAACTTATACATTTTGAGAAGATATCTTCGATTCGAAAATATGTATCAGATATCTACCGAATGCGAAGAATTGACGATTTCTTTAATTACGGCTTTCGAGTCAGGCTTGAGAGGACAGCTGATGATGACGAATCCCGCGAATGTGAGATTGTTCTCCAATTTTTCGCGTGTCAGTTCCCTCAGATCTTGAGAGGAAAAGGTACCAGGAAGTTTCCGGTATCCCAAGGCGAGCACCCTTGCACCGCGTCGTGAGAGAGATAAATAAGTTGAATCGTAATTCTTCGGCACAGAAGATAACTGAAATGACAAGTTACATTTCATCGTAACATATAAAAAAATCAATACGATATTATAGATAATTGAAATTATTATTATTATTATTTCACTCACCATATCCTTTAGGATTTCTGGTGCGCCCTTTACTGTAGCCATATACTGAATTTCTGAAGCTCCAGGAACATTATGTCCAACCACAACGCACATTCTTTTCAGAGCCGATGAGAAATGAAATCTCTGTACAATCTTTAGTGCCGGAGACTTGCCCTTTTTAGGAATCACAGAATCACCTAAATGAACAGTGTATAATATAATACAACGTTCTCTATATGTTATATTATATTATCGACAAATCTATATTTACTTTTTGTAAGACTCCAATTTACAGCTTTAAGGGTAGCCTTTTCTAACGGATCCCCGACGATACCATCATCTAATTGAACAAGAGAATGACACGTAGCCAGCACTTGTACACTTTCCAAAGGTGCATCCGATATTTGGATTACATCTGATTTACCGCTAAAAAAGATGAAAATCGTATCTCATAAAATAACAAAATAATTTTGCGAAAATAATAATTATATAATTGTGCAATTTCTTACTCGATGCCCGCAATACCCTCGACAATCAGATTATCACTGGTGAGTGTACCAGTCTTGTCGAAACAGCAAATATCAACTTTGCCAGCAAACGGAATTCTGAACGGTTCCGTACAGAACACACCTACAAAAAAGATACAAAGCTTGTAACTGTATAATTATAGGATTAAGAATCTTTGATATTAGAGAAATTTGTCTTAAATACCTAATTTGGATAGAGCTACCAGAGATGTATTTACAGCTAACGACAATTCTATAGGTAACTCTGGTGGCACAACGGAAGTCAAAATCAACGTGCATTCCAAAAATAGTTTGTACTTGTTTCTCGTAGGATCTTCGCTGCCTGAAATTTGTTGTGGAATGTAATTCATATTGTTTTTTCTCATCTCGCTTTTTTTCTCTCTGCCTTAATATGTAGAATTGGACTACCTTTGATCCAAACATACGCGGCAGCGGCAATCGCGAAAATAAGCAGGAATAGAATGAAGCCAAAAGTTTCCAAATTATTGGCTGTAACGCGTTTAACACCGAACAATATCGTTCTCAAAAGTTTTCCCTGTGATGTGGAAAAGCCAGTACGTAATACATAGGCAACACATCCATTATCGGTTGCTGAAATATTAATAGAGCACGTTAATATCATATAATAAGCGAAAGCGTCATAAAAACTATAGATAATAAGGACTACTAAAACAACAAAGATAATGGCGATAATGATGATAATGATAAAGAAAATAAAAATGCAAGAAAAATGTTTTTAATAATTTTAGATAATATTTATTAGTTTTTTGTTAATAAATATTACCTCAATTTTTAGTAATTTTTTACTCGCCTTTATCTCGTATTTAGCTCTTATTAATTCTTCTTATTACCTATTGGGTTGGCAAATAAGTTCGTTTTTTAGATAAGTTGTTTTTTAAAATAAATCAATTTTTTTTAATACACAAAATAAATTTTAATAAATTATATATTGTGTATTAACCATGTTCATGAATGACCTCTTGCCATTTTTTGACCAACTTCATTCTTGCGCGTTCGTAAAACGATAGCCTTGACTTAATCTCGGTTGGGCGACTGGAGCAGGGTACATTATTGACGTCGAAATCTCCAGAACGGGATTCGGCAAACCACTTTTGGCATACGCATTCTATTAAGGTATTATCCCCACATACATGGCATATCTTTTTACGAGCCTTCGCAGCTCGTTTGCCTTTTTTGAAGTAATATGATGATAATGCATGTTATTTATTAACATTTTCACAGCTATACAACATGCAACATATAACACTGATGTTAATCAAACCGAAATTCACAGGAAAGTTATGTGAAACATTCCAACATTCTTTCAAATGCGTATTTAAGTTTCGCGAAAGCATGTAGCACCGAGAAAAAAGAGTGAATCGAAATAACTTACACCGAACCGAAAACCGAACAAACTTATTTACCAACACTATATATTGACATATATATGTGTATATATATAGATATATATATATATAGAGAGAGAGTTTTTTTGTTTCTTCCATAGGAAATAAAATTTAATCAATAATACCTCGAAGGCCGGGAGTATTTTTGCTAGGAGGTGTATGTTGCACGACTTTCGTTCCACCAAAAAGTACATGAAGTTTATCATCGCCTTCAATATCTATAGTTTTACTCCCATCAATATCTTCTATAGGTTCTTTCATTTGAGGAACAGATTCACCTAGACATTTTCAGAGTTACAGTAGAATTACAACTTATTTGTATTGAACATAATTGAATTATTTCAATTATATACCTGTTAACATGCTTTCGTCAACTACACATGGACCTCGCAAAAGCAACATATCACATGGCACTAAATTATCATGTTGAGGCCTCGTAATAGAAACAATATCTCCAGGAACTAGTTGGTCTGTAAATAATAAGCGCCATCGCCTGTTTCTGTAAACCTAAAAAATGAAAACGCAAATATGAAACTCTTAGAAATAAATATACTTTAATTGTACGATAAGAAAACTTGTACCTACCATTATCATGTATGGTTTATTGCCCATTTTGCGAATTTCTGCCATATTTCTAAGTTGTTGCTGTACTAGGGTACATTCAAACATGATAAGCATAATCAGCGTAAAGATGCTATAGTACCAATATTTGTCTAAGCACCAAAGCGCCACGCAGAATACTTGAAAGACGAAGAATGGAGCAATCGCACGCTCCTTAAAGAGTTCCCAGAACTCTGGCACAACCATGTCTAATCTAAAAAACCAACAGAAATATTTTTAAAAAATACAAAAAGATGGAAATATCTTGCAAGGAAAATTTTAATAAGAATTATCCTAACGTACTTATTTTTTCCATATTTTTCCTCCGCTGCTTCAACTTCTGCTTGATCGAGGTAGCCCTTCCATTCACAGTAATGTTTCACGGAATGATTAATAGGAAACTCCAGTCCTCTGAACGATTTTACATCTGAATCCCAATAGTATTTCGTTTTTTGAAAAATAAACCAAGGCTCCTGCTGATCTGTGTGATGCAGCGGAATCAGCTCTGAACTTCCATTATTTGGGGTGGGAACCACTTTCACTATTCTCGCTTTATAAGGATCTTTTTCCTAGAGACAGAAAACATTTATTTCAGACAGAACATTTTAAAGTACATATTAAAAAATTATATATATAATATATTTCAAATATATTTTATACATATTTATTATATATTATTATATATTATTATTTATTATTATATATTAATATATACTTTTATTAAGAAATTTCTCACGTTTGGGTCGAATTTAATATATCGTTCCTATTTTTAATATATATTTATTATTAATATATATAAAATATATTTTTCCAGCAATTCAAATACACCCGGCGAGGTGTCACGTGACCGAGCTAGCAGAAGACCGGCTTCAAATGGCTGCCACGTTACAAGACACATCGCGAGGCCGAGGAAACGGGCCACGTGCCCCGTTGTTCAACCGAATGAAGCGGCACTTACCGAGCTGCAATTTAAGAACGTGTGCACGTGCACCGACCATTGGCAGCACAGACACAAAAAGATCTGCAGCACGCCGATCGCCGCGATGCCGACCAGACCCGCGTCATAGTACTCGTCGACGCCGTAGACGAAGATCCAGCAGTAGATCCACAGGGTCTGCAGCATCACGAACGGCATCACGTAGCCGTTCAGCATCCACGCGCGCGGATTGTGCAGACTGACGGACTGCACGAGCTCGTCCACCCGGGACGAGGTCACCGCCATGATTACTAATTGCTTAACCAACAAATTAAGGGACTACGAGTCGACGAACTTCTTTAAGCACCATTCACACATCGAGAGACCGCGCACATCGTCGAGTAAACCTCGTTCGCCGGATGACGTCACGCGTACGCGTAATCTGCATACGGGCTGGGATTCGAGGGGGTTCTACAATTTTTCAGCAGGGGTTATGGTTGGAATGCGAAGAAGCGCGTGTGCCGACCGATAGCGCGTATCGGTGTCAGCGAGCGGACCAGATGTTACGTCAGCAACGCCACCGTCGAGTCAACACGGCGGCGGAGTCGCGAACTAAACGCCGACATGGCGACCCGAGGCGCAAGTCGCGAGTTTGAATCCCGCCATTTACTTTCCTCGATCAAGTGTCCACGTATCGAGCACACGCGCGGTACGTATTCTCGCTCTTTCCTACGACGTTTTATTCCTCGTTTATTATTAATTTAGCTCGAAAATCTGTCAAATATGCACATCTCTCGAGAAATACGCTGTATCCGAAATAGGTCTTAGCGAGAGATTCGTCAACTTTAAATGAAACCGTATCGTTGAAATTTCACGATTTTCTAATGATGTATGTATAATTTGCTTAGAATGTGTGCTATTTTTACGCATACTGATTATTGATTATTGTTTTACAGAAGCGAAAAATGTATCATTGCTATATAATTCGAAATATTAGCGAGAGATTCATCAACTTTAAATCAAACCTTACCGATGAAATTTGACGATTATCTAATAATATATGTACAATTTGCTTAGAGTGCGTGCTATTTTTATGCATATGCCAGGTGCTCAAATAAATTTGTACGTGTATGTATTCACATACTTACGATTAATTTTAATATAATTTTGGCAACTTGTTGATTATCTATCTACTTGTTCAACATTATAGACTTTAACATTTTTAATCTTTAACATCATTCTGATAAATATTTTTCATCAAAATTTGACCAAAAAAGTATTAATATACGTATATATTTATATACTATATTATTTATTAATATTATTAATTATATTAATATAAATATAGGTTAATGCTTTTTTTACGAAAGTTTGATTATTTTGTTTTATAAAAGCGAAAATATATCATTATTATATAATTCGAAATACGTATTAGCGAGAGATTCATCAGCTTTAAATGAAACCTTATTGATAAAATTTGACGATTATCTAATAATATATGTATAATTTGCTTAGAGTGTGTGCTATTTTTATACGCACACGCTAAATATTTAAAATCAATTTGCACGTGTGTAACCTTTGTATGTGTGCGTATTCACACTTATTATTAATTTTAATATGATTTTTGTTAGCTTTTGTTGACTATCTGCGTGTTCAACATTATAGACAGTAACATTTAAGTCTTTAACATTATTCTGATAAATACTTTTTATCAAAATTTCGTCAAAAAAGCATTAATTTAAATATAATTATATTAATATAATTAATAATATTAATATTATAATATATAAATAAATGCTTTTTTGGTGAAATTTTGATGAAAAACATTTATTCGGAATAATGTTAAAGATTTAAATGTTATTGTCTATAATGTCGAATAACATTAATATTACACTGAAAAAAATTTGTCAACTTTATTAAACCTTTCAACTAAATTCCTATTCTGTATTTAAGTCAAACATACGTTTTGTTAATTTAATGTAAAATTTAATTTAAATTTTATATTATATGTTTAATGAACAAAATAATGTTTAGTTGAAAGGTTTAGTCAAGTTAACAACAGTTTTTAGTGTACATTGTTATATTAATATTATTAATTTATTAATTTATATTTATTTATAAAATTTGATAATGTCGAAGGGAAAAAGAGAGAAAGATAATATATCTGCGAAATTGATCGACGATTCTCGTTGGCTATAAAACCGCTAAATTTTTAATATACGAAGAGAGATAGCACATTTCTCTTTTTTTTTGTCCTGACGGACTAGATGTAGATATGTAGTCGCGTAATCAAGATGTATCCGTGTCATCCGGTAAAAAAACTCGGTTCACTCTGTCATAAGGTCGATGAATCCCTCGCGCACGTATTCCCAGTGAAAGTGTGCGTCTCCGGCTGCGAAACCCCACCCCGGGGCCCTCCGCGGAACTCGTGCACACGTCGTTCCGAAGGAAAGAAGGGGTCAAACGCAGAGGTAGACCCACGTTGCTTAGAACCGAATCGCGCCAGTATCTGGACCCAACGTGGACACTTTCGAATCACCGCTGGCCAAAAGTGGAATGGTCGCTCATACAGTCGGTTTAATCGCAGTCCGGTGCATCGACAGAACGTCACAGTAATTCAAGAACGATACAGCGAATCGAGTCAAGAGTCTCTCTTTTTTTGTCCCTTCGATTAAAAATTCGCTGATCGATGCGAAAAGTTCAAAGATCACGTGGGTAAGAGCTGTTGCATTCGCAAAAAAAGAAAAAAAATAGATTATTTTCGAAAATCTAGGCGTATACGAGCGATCCTCCGTCCTTTGCACCATCTTCTCTTCGAGAATCATCACGTCTCGCGTTATCGTTTATCAGTGGTGACATTGCACGACGATTGATCAACGCGCGATGCCAATTAAGTGACTCTGCGGCCTCCTTTCTGCCTTCCTGCCGTGCTCACCACAGGAGAGAAGGTCCTATCACGCAGGGGTGAATCATAGCGTAAGAGAGAAATGGAGGTCGCGTGGCACCTAATGTCAATCGTAAGTGGTCGACTCATAATTTAAAAAAAGAAAAAGTGACAATTATCGTAGATTGTGGAGTAGGCAGCTGGATTTAAGTCTGATGTAATGTGTTCTTCGCATGAATTGCACATGTTATCATCTCTTTAATTGCAATTTCCTGAATGCAATTCCTTGATTCACCCGTTGATTTATTGTTAACAATTTTTATCTGACGATTAAATTACATGCAGGTTGAATCAGAATCGATTAATATTGTCGCAAAAAAAAAGAAACATTTATATTCATACAGGAAATAACCTGATAAATTGCAAGCCGGTGTATTTCATAATATGTGGTTGTCTCACGTTGTACGATACTTAATCTGGCTCTAATAATCTCGTCAAGAGTTGTTCTATCGTCTAGAGTTGTTCTATCGTATAATTTAACCGTGAGAATTACACTTTCACGCGTATGTACGAAAGGAGTTAGGAAATTTTTGTTCAAAACTGTAATAGTTGAAAAATGCGAGAAAATTAGTACTTTCCGGGTTTTCAAATTATATATATTTCTATCAGATTTACTATAAGTTGTTTTGTATATAGGATATTTCAAGGAAGGCCATTTATCAGGAATGTTTTTTTTTTATTATTGATACTATTATATTTTATTGTTTATTATTACTTGATAAAGCAAAAAATTAAATATCTCATGGCTACTTTGCAAGTAATTTAATGTATGACGAGTTTAAATGTCTATACCATATCATAAAATCAGAAAATTTATTGATTTTATAATTTATTATTAATTTTTTTTTAATTATATTCAGTTTTATTATGTTTTTGCCTCCAACTTTCATTATAATAAAATATAAATATTTTAAGCAAAAATTATTTCTTTTTTAATATAAATAACTTTGGTGTACGACTACTGTATTTCCAATGAAATTTGGACCGTATAAATTTAACATTATATGTATTTTATTGTATTATTATTTTTAATATAAAAAAGATGATTTATTTATGACGAGCATATATTATTATTATTATTATTAATATATGTGTACATTGACAGTTCTTCCTGATGGTCACCCGAGGTGAACCCTGCACGGAATACGGATGTCCTGGACGACCGCAGTATCAACCCTTTGTTCCCGCGCCTCCAGGACACACCCCCAGTTGTGCGCCACCGGGACAGACCTTCTGCGAGATCCTGGACCATTATCCTCGGTAAGTGCACTTAGACTCCCCTGGAAGCATCGGCTATATCAAGCGATAGCTCGAACGGCGTTGGACGCAACAAGTGGAAATCCTCAACGATCCGGTCGACCCATTTCGACAATTGTTGATATTCCTTTCGCCATCGTCGTGTCCATCTTCCGCCTCCCTCTACGCATACGAATGACTGGCACGCGCGTGTCGAGAAAAATTTCTGGTGGGAAAGTATGCCCAATCTCTTCGAAGTGAGAATCCGAAAGCATCGAGTTTGCTTTATGTCAGGACAACTTACACAACGAATTATACCGAGGACTCTCTCGCCCATAAAAGACAGTAGTCGGTTTGACCTGTTTTTACAAGAGACCCATAAGAACCTATCATGCTGTGATGGAAGAATAAAATGAAACATTAGCTCTCTCTCTCTCTCTCTCATCAGACAACATCCTGCTTTCTTCATTCTAGCGCTACGCATGTATAGATAATTCATGATATTCGTAATAGAACGATTTTCCATGAATTTTCACGCACTCGCGCGTGAAGAGTCTTATTCCAGACAAGTTAAGAGTTACGTAAAGTGAGCGGTTGTTAATAATGTAACAACGTCCGTGAGATCGTTGCTCAGCGTACCATGACCATGGCCTTGGCGCGGTCATACTGCCGCTGGATAATTATTGGGCCCGTTACAATAGTCCCCCAAATCGAACACCGATGTACTTCCCTATATTTTTCTTACGTTCGGCAAACCATCTTCATGAACTGGCGTCAAATACATATATACAAAAAAATAATATTCATACATGTTTGATCAATTATTGACGGCTAAATAATGAAAACAGTGCGCGAAATAGAAATTTTATATTTGTCATAAAAGAGCAATATTTAAATTTTTTTAATGGACATTTTATAAAATTCTAATAGTTGCAAGAAAATACATTTTTCCTGCTAATTGTTAGTTAAACAAGACAGCGCAACGTGGTATCGACAAGTTGAATAATTCTCCGGTAAACTGGAGAAAGTTGCGGCTGTGACAGCTGTCACTCGCGACAATTGTATGTGTACAAAACTGACAGAGAATGTCAGAAATATAAAATTGCCGGACTATCTTGTGTGCCTATATCGCGCATTTATTATTTCGCCGCCAAACAAATGTGCAGCTACTTGCTTAACTTACTAACATTATATAGTTGCGCAACACGTAACGTACGCAATTGACGAACGCACCTGCGTAAATAAGTTTTTGTCAACTCTAGACAAATCTCGGTGTAGACTACAGATAGAGGATGATCGGTATCCTTGATACGCGGTTGCAGCAAGACCTCAGAGGCAGCGGATCAAAGATCGAATTTAATCCCCGGGAGAAAATTACATTTTTTTTCATTTTTAACCAACACATTGTATTCTATTCTCGCCGGCAGATGTAACGGTCTTTTTTCTTTCTCTCCTTTTTTGCTCTTTTTTTAGACAACTCATCAAATTTCTCGTCGACAAATGCAGCTTTGACTTTAGCACCGCGTTGCGAGACGAATCTCGCGACGACTTCAATTCTTACAGGTATATTTTTAATACTTGAAATACATCGTGAAATATATATATAGAAGCAATAAAAAGAAACTTGCATAGAAAATTCAGATCAGATAAGTATGAAGAATTAAATAAAATCTTTTGCAAAATTTCTATCTTTTAAATATATTAAATATTAGAATGGTAAATATTACGATAAAATTATTATAAAATTACATTTAAAATTTATTAAAATTATTTGCAATATAATCATTTAATTTGAGCATTCTTAGTATATTTTTTATCCTACCATTTGCAAGTTCTCGTCCGGATTACAGTCAAGGCTACGACTATCCGCGACAGGATAATGTATATCGATTATACACGCAGCTAACAGAACAGCCGGCTCCGGTATACGGACCTCCGTCTAATAGTAGCCGTTACAATGGGTATAAAACATTTATTTAATCGTCTCATTGAACATAAAATAAAAAAGACATAAAGAAATTCTTAGATTTTTCACTTTATGTTGCAGTTATAAATATTCTGCACCGCCACAATCGCAGAGAAATCCTTTCCTTCCAGAAACGACTCTAAAGCATCATCAAAATATCCCACGACAGTTCGATTATAATTATCCGCAGGAATCATTGGCTAGACCGAATCAGTCGTGGTTGACGAACAGGTATGATTGACAATTAAAACGGTGAAAATTGTTCACGCTCGGCGATACATTATTTTTCATTAAATGACAGATATTCGCGAAATGACAAAATAGCGCCGCGAACTTATAGCGTGAATCCTTTGTTGGGATACGCCAAGCTTAAGGGCGATCGTGTCAAGAGACAGTTGAATCCGAATGCGATCTCTCTTTGTCCTACACAAGCGCAATATATCGCTCCCAAGGCTGCTCTAAACAATCAAGGCAACTGGATGTACGTTGTCAATCTATCGGGACAGAACAAATACACACAGCTCGTCAAAAGTGAAAAATGTTTGTAAGTCCCAAGGATTCATATCTGTGATGATAAATAGATCTAGCGATTAGGGAATATTTTGAAATATTACATATTTATTTTGATTTTTGTGGGTTATCGATGTCAGAAAGGTCTATACCTTTTAAGAATTAAGATAAGATTTGACCGATCTTCATCGAATTATTATTATTTTTTAGAAATAACGAATGCAACGGTATATGTTCAGTTCCGGAAGGATACAGTAGCAAGTGTCAACAACAATTTGTGCAAAAGCGACTGATCGCGCTGGAGGGAAGCGGAAATCGACTTTACACGGATGTGTTCTGGTTTCCGCACGGTTGCTCGTGCCAGATTATACCAAATTTTTGAATATACAACAACATGGACTGTGTCGCATTCGATGAATAGGGATCATTTTCAAGGATAAGCTATTAAACGCAGTTAGATTGCTCTCTTCATGATTATAACTCGACGCTGCGGAACGCAGAGTGCGCTTCGTATCAGCGTTTAAAGGTGGGTACCGATAATGTAGCGTTCTAGGAACGATGATGCGTTACTCTCGAACAAGTCTCTCGACTCAATGTACATTACCAGCGGTGTTAAAGTAGAGGCGGATAAGCCTCTCGTCGACATATGTAGTTTACTTGTTACAGTAACCATTTTATAATATAGGACAAATCGCGCGAGCAACGTGAATTTTCCCATCCAGATGTTAATTTTGAATGTTTCAAGTCGTTTGTTAGCTACGAATAGGTAAAAATCATTTTCAACGAGAAATATTGCAATTATTTCCGCATCATATATGATATTCCATATCTAAATCTATTCGTATTACATTTGGCATTAAAATGTAAGATAGGATCTTTTATTATATTGACTGGATTATATATTAACGATTCGATCTTATCTACCTTTTAGCCTTCTCGCGATTCGTTTATAATTACTACAAGGACAGGCAACTTTGAATAATGTCTTGAATATCAGCAGTTCTTTTAATTGTAATTTTTAATTGATATTATCTTTAATGTGTGTGTGTGTGTGCGCGTGTATAAGAATTTATAATTTAGAAGATATTTCGATAAATACTTGAACTGTCACGCAATTAAGTTTATTTCTATAGTAGATACAATTTTCTTCTCAATGAGATTGAAGAGAGACAGCGAGAAAATTTCTCGTATTTGCAAAATAAGAGTTAAAGGAAAATTTTATGTATATGCTACTTACATATAAATTAGTAACAAATATAATCTATTTAAAAATGCCATTTATTGTGATATTAATTATTTTTATAAAGAATTTCATGAGAAAAAAAAGTTGTTCCCGCTAAGTAAAATAATTTCGTAGAAAAATATGAAATCAAGAAGATATCTGTAAATCTTCGAAACAAATTATATATATATATAATTATTTTTGGAAATTACATAAAATAGGCATCGATTCCTATCAGAGAGCCTATCTTACTCAAAAACTTATCAGCTCTATGCTAGCATAACGTTGCGTGAAACACGACATCGACCTAATCGTGACATCTTATCAAGAAGCCGGCTATGCTGGATATTCGAGGAATGCGGGAGGCATAAAATGAAGGATCTCGATTTCTATACTATACATCGGTTGAGAAAGGACGAACGAAGGCGAAAAGAGGGATGAAGAAGCCCGTGGATGACGGCCTGGAGGAGAGAGGACTAACGGGGGAGGAACTGTGGAGGTCAAACACGCGCAAGTTCCTCAGAAATGCTGCGGAGGAACACGACACCCCGTTTTGCGCCGTCTCTCCACGAAACTTTCGCAAAGCTGTAGTACATAATCTCAATATGCTATAAGAATTATAATTTTTACAACGAATGTATAGGATGTATAATTAGTTAGTTCGATCTGGCAGATTTGCTTGTGTATAATTTTGTTTCTGGAAGTAAGGCACAAACAGCAGTCGCTGAAACGCGCGTTTCCAAGAGAAAAAAACATTAAACGCGCCCCGGATTTGTGTGCGAGCTCCCGCTATAGATTCCGTTCCGCTTCTCGCACGCACCCGCAGCTCGTACCCCGCAACGAGAGTCGCCCTGTATCCTCCCCCCTCAACATCCCTTCAGCGGAAAGAGGGGTGAATTCTAGGCGTACGTAAGTGCACCTACACGGTGCCTATATACGCGTGCACTTGTACCTTACGCCTTTCCCTCCACTCGTGCGTGACAGAAGTGTCTGTACACATGAGGTGGATGGTAGGCTACTTGAAGGGTTTCCGTTTATATGCACGCGTGTAAGCGTGTGCGAGTTTGAACGAGAAGAAGGGGCTTTCCACAGAGAAGCGAGGTCGTCCTGCGATAGCGCGTGCATATCATATAGCGAAGGATGGAATATATATTAATTAAGAGAACTTCTTTTTAAGCGAGCGAAAAAACGAACTAGTCAGCCCAGCTGGCAAACTATATGGTATATAGATATTCACGTGTTTGATCGAATAAACAAAATGGAAGAATATCAAAACGCGATAAAGTTTTACACCGCAGTTTGACCTCGCATCTGGAGCCTCCGCGAGAGATTAAATCGAGATCCACGGCGTCCAGATGTCACGTTTCAGGAAGAGGAAGAAAGCCTGGCCACCTTTGATCCCTACCAGTCGCAAGATGACGAGCGAAGCACGCATGGACCGCAAACGCGCGAGAGTGGCTTTATTTACAAAATCGAACACATAATCAAACGCGTTACGTTTATACGCTATTAATATTTTGTCGAATCTCTCCGATTCGGTCGACCTATACCTATATGTATATGCGCCTCTTGTATTAAATCCCAGTCTGACCCATTTCCGCTTCCGTGCTATCCTGTACAAGCGCCGCGGTCAAGATAGGTCAAGTTTGCGACGCGGACTCATTGTAAAACCTCGCATAGCATTTGGGAGAGGCGCTATTTTCGTGAAATGGCTGTCGATCGATAGAGGTGCCATCGTCGAATGAAAATACCTCACACATGAATGGAATCGGGTTTATCGTGTGTGAAAAAAAAAAACGCTGCGTAAGGTCAACGCTGACGGCACAGACTTTACCTATGATATTTTTTTCCGTGCGAACTTTCGCATAAAACGCGACCTTGATTACTTGCCAACAATTTTTTTTAATGTGACGTAAGCCTCCAACGGTAGCAATTTTGTTTAATGTACCGTGCACGCGAGAGTGTCCCTGCGTCATCCTGCACCGTGACATTATTACTTACTGAAAGTATGAACTGATGTGAGATACATATGCGAGCAATTTTTGCTCCTCGAAAATATATGTATATTTTTTTAGTCGGTCTATTATATTATATATTTTATTATATGTATATATTTTTTTCGAAGCGCGATTGCTCGCATATGTGTGTATATATATATATTTAATTTTTTAATTATAATTTTAGTATATTTAATATGGAAGTTTAATTATATATTTAATTATATATATTATATATATTATATATATTTTTTGGCGACTTATATTCTGGAAAAATTTGGCGAACGAAATGTGTTGTGACGCGAACTTCTTTCTTCGGAAGAGATGGCGGCTTGATTTCCGCTTCCACGACGAGATCGGGATCACGGCCGGAGGGTTCGAAACTTTTTTCCTCCCCGAGAAATGCCACCCCCGCGAGGGAGAACAGAGAGTTTTACAGTAATCTTTGTGCCAAAAGTCGATTGTGCTCTCTTTTGCCGTCTCGCTCTGGACGTTCGTCTCTCTTCCTCCCTTCGTTTTTTCTCTCGCGGCTACACCGGAGCCGGTCGACCAGCAGCTTCGAGCGCCGGGATAAAGTCACGAGCAGTAATTATGAACGATAGCAGGGGAGAGAGAGGATATAATTGTGATTGATGGAGAGATGAGAAGGGAGGAGCAGGGGGTGACTTCCTTTTAATCTCGAAGCTAACCCTTTCGTTCATCCATTGCCGCTTCTGCCCGACGCGATTTTATTACCTCGAGTTGTGTGTATATATCTTCGCGGGAAAAAAAGAACTCGGATCTCTCACAGATTCCGTTCTCTTAATTCATTTCTCGAAACCGCGGAAACGTATATTAAGTGTCACCGAAGAAATTTTGTCCAAAAAATGCAATTTATCGTCTGTATTTTTCTCGTTATTTATAGAGAAACCTCCGGCAAAATGCAAAAGAGTGTATACGAGAATCTACCCAAGTAGCAACGTCATTTTGACGTTTACTGACGTCAGTTGGGTATTTCTTATCTAATAGTAAGAAAAAATAAAATGCTATCCGAGAATATTAATTAATATTAATTCGATGGCGAATTGTTAATTATAAGTAATAATCGTCGCGCAGAGTGAAATGACAGTTTGAGCGGAGGTTCTAAAAATCGTCGTTATAAAAGACGAAAGAAAGGCTCGGTAGCGAGGAGAAGCCCAACGTGTCCGCCTCGTACGTGCATTATCCCCGATGCGTGCGTGCATGCGTGCGACCGTATATACGCATATGCATTCGTGTGTGCGTGTTCTCTCTCTTTCTCTCTCGGTCGCGTCTCTCTACGCACTCGACTCCACGCAGTCCACGCACCGCCGAGCGAGCGAGCGGGAGTCTGCGATCAATGCGTGGCACTGCCACCGGTTGTCATGGCAACGAAGCGCGCGCCACGCACAACGAGCGAACGATCCGCGTCGATCGTGCGTAAGTGCGTGCTCCGGACGCGCACGCACACGCGCGCGTGTAGGTACGTACAGACGCGGCCTCCTGCGACGAGGCTCCGCGCGAAAGAGAGAACCGCGTGCAGAGGGTCGATCGATGGTCCGCTAACTTCGCGACGTATACTACGAGCACGTGGCGCACGCCACGAATCTGCGAAATCCCGCTACACGCTTTGTAAATTGGTATATAGTTTATATATATACTTTTTATTAGTGGAAAATATCCACCAAAGTTTCATGTTTTTAATTTGTCTGACATTTGAGAAACAAAATGAATTAATTTTTATCTTCCTTTTTAAAAACAGACTTTAAGGATATTAATTAATTTTCGACAAAGAAGCGTCTAAAAATGTTTGCACTTATTTAAAAATATTAATGAATATCCTTTTTATTAGAAGAAAATATCCACCAAGTTTCATGTTTTTAATTTGTCTGACATTTTGAGAGAAAAAATAAAAACTTAATTTTTACCTTTCTCTTTAAAAAAAAACTCTAGGGATATTAATTAATTTTCGACAAAGAATCATCTAAAAATGTTCGCACTTATTTAGAAACCTATATATATATTACATTTTTAGATTCTTTGTCGAAAATGAATTAATATCCTTAGAGTTCTTTTTAAAGAGAAAGGTTCTCTCAAATGTCAGACAAATTAAAAACATGAAACTTGGATATTTTTCCCTAATAAAAAGGATATTCTTTAATATTTTTAAATAAGTGCGAAAATTTTTAGATGATTCTATGTCGAAAATTAATTAATATCCTTAAAGTCTTTTTTAAAAGAGGAAGGTAAAAATTAAGTTATTTCGTTTTTCAAATGTCAGACAAATTAAAAACATGAAACTTGGTGGATATTTTCCACTAATAAAAAGAATATTTATTAATATTTTTAAAAATTTTATTTTTACCTCCCTCCTTAGAAAAGTATAACTTCTCAGGGAGGGATATAAGAATATATATGTTTATATAAGATATCCCTCTTCATTTTTGACAAAGTATCATCTAAAATTTTTCACACTATTTTAGATACACTCTGTGTATACTAGATATTTCAAAAACTATGGGTGGGGTTCATAGACCGTTCTTATATGTATTTAAGATTGTTTTCAGATCTCAATCAATCACAAGAGATGGCCATTTGCTACGTGCATTTCATTAGTTGAACAGGGCCTTAAAACGGTCTTAAATATAAGAATCAACTCAAAACCGGCCTATGTCAGAGATTTTAAGATGTCCATGCATTTTAGATGTCAGAATAAAAAAATTTTCTATAAACAAAATGGGTCCAAAAATAAAATCCCCTCAAAATCGAATCATACATAAAAATACATACAGTCTCTTGCGAATTTCCTTATCACACGAGTATTATAATTAAAATACTTGATCCTGTAGAAGGTTTCACGAGTGACAAAAGTTATTCCCCCAAAATTAGCCGTCGACGACGCGGTTGTTTTTTCTATTTCTTTTTTTGTGGATTTTCTGGTCTAGTGTGTCTCGACAGCTGTTCCGAATTTTCTCTCCGCCTTTTTGCCGGGTAGGTATACTTGAATTTTCAACGTATATCTTGCAGAGTACATGTTACATTTCACGACGTTCAAAGTAATCTTCTCTAACTTCTGTAAAATTTTCTGACAATTTTTATTCCGTTACTGGAAAAAAATGTATTGAATTCGAATAAGTTTTTATTTCAATACTGCCAAATGAATCATGTATTTGAAACTAATAATATTGACTTGATGTGAAAAATATTTATTTGTTTTAAATAAATGATTTATTAGGTAGAGTATTGAAATAAATATTTATTAATTTAGTCACATTATTTCAGTGTGCAAACGAATATTTGTATCAACGTTACTGATACAAAGAAAAATTAAACGATAGTGTATAATATACTTGAATTTAGGAAATAGGGTAGAAAAGAGAGAAAGAGAGAGAGAGAGAGAAGGGGAGAAACAACAATCGAAAAGGATAATGCACAGAAATTGTTCTGATATTTCGCAGCCGCAGCCGCAACCATTCGCGGGAATGACGACGTCAGGATGAGGCAGATGTTCCTAACGAGCCTCAGCGAGAGAGAAAGTATCGATCGCGATATCGTTACGATTATGTTGTCCATCATAATGAAGATAAATTTGAACGACTTCACCGTGAGAAAAATAATTGCGCGACGCACTCGTAATCGTATCCTGCGTGCATTTCATAATTTATATTTAGGCAACAGTCTATCATTCATTAAGAATTCAGAAAAGATTGTTCTTCTTTTAACATTTGAATCTCGGCTTTATTAATTCGCGAAAGACGTGATAGTAAAAAAAAATGTGACTCTCTCCCACATCTCTCTCAGGGAAAAAAACGTGGAAAATGTCCTACTACTCCGATTATTACCCCATCGCAGAAGGCGGAAAAAAGAGCATTTAAACCCTTTCGGTCGGGGTAATTCAGTGGCAGGCCACTACATCGAAGATGGCACGCGTTAGGGAGAAAAGGAGGAGGGGGTTGCGCGACCCCCAATTCGCTCGAACACCTAGAGTAACCCCTGCACCCTCGCACTGGGGTTCTTCGCAGATGAATCCACCGATTCTCGGCCATCTAGCGCCATCGGAAACTCGCGCGCAAGGTGTTCTGTACATGTGATATATTTCCTGATAAATTTCAGGTCGATTTTACATCAAGCGATTTTATTTCTATGCATTGTGCGTATTTGTAATTTCTTTGCTTATAAAAATTGTGATTGAATCCTAGAATCGAGCTAAATGGAACGTCAGAGATGACATCTGTCAGTCGTTGAGAAGACAAGTTATTGTATTATTTAAATGCATGTATTTATTATTAAATTTTAAAAAGATTGTTGGCACGTATAAAAAATGAGAAAAATGATAGATTCATGTTATCTCATCTGTTATTTGGAGAAGAGATCTCGCAGTGCGATTAGAAAAGATTAAAAAAGTAGTCGGGCCGTGAGAGTAAATTTTTCAAAAAAGGCCTCTCATTCTCTATCTCCCTTTCTCTTTTGGTCCAGGTGACGCTCGTCGAGAAACGAAGAACGAAGGGATAATTCTGTACGACAAGAGAGAGACTACTAGGGACGATTTTTCATTTTTCGATGCCCACGAAATACCGACAATGGACACGTGTCACGCGACGTTGCAGCTGCTTTTGCCACTGTTTATTTGACGCAATACGGCACACATGGCGCAAAAGATTGCCTCGTAAGACCGTAATACGTACGAGTAACCGAACCTTCCTCAATCGATTTCTGCTTCATCGATGTATCATCGATGTATGGAATTGATATTTGTTGAGGTCAGTAATCAAACGCCATTGATACGCATTGCATAACGATGAATTTTGATGCTAAGTTGCATTTATCAAATTTTATTGTTGGCCTCTCTGGCGGGCCAACTATATGGACTATAGACAAAAAGTAGACTTGTTTTAGATGCATTCTGAACATCCACATTTTTAGACTACCTTGAACACGTCCACTCATTTTTAGACTACCTTGTCTAATATTTGTCTATATACTGTCTAAAAATTATTTACGTTGCCAAAATATTGATGAAATAATCTGTCTAAAATCTGTCTAATGGGTTTCTAAACACATTGCCCACAGTTTGGACATTCTGTCAAATGATATGAGCTTTTGAGAAATCAAACTGATCAACTCTATTTTGTGTTAATTTTTTATTTTAATACCAATTATGTATTTAGCACTGTTTTAGTACTAAAATAAAAATAAGAACATGGAATTAATTTATTTCTCCGAAACGGACGTCTTGAGAAATCATATAAGTCTTTCAAGAAATAAATTAATGTTATGTTCTTATTTTATTTTATATTTGCAGGTTATAAAATATATATATTTTATATTTGCAGGTTACAAAAAGATTGACGATGTTTATTCAATAGAGGCTAATTTTCAATCAGAGATGGACGATTTCACGGTAAAATACGAAGAAAGATGCGGATAGTATAAAAGAAGTCAGGTAGGTGGTATTGTAGTAGGAATGTCATCTAAAGATTCACAAACTAAAATGTCTTGAAAAAGTTATAGATATTTGGTAAAACAATTCCTTAAATATATCCGATCAAACTTGCGGTTATAATTCACAGAAGAAAAAACGCGTTCTTTAAAACACAATAGGAAAATTTGTGTTTTCTTGCTAAAAACGATCCCTGTTAAAATTTTGTATTACACATTTAACACATTCATGTGTTAATTAAACATATTGCTGTTGTGTTAATTGAACTTAAATGTTAAATTATTAAACCAATTGTAAAAAGATGTAAAAATAACACAAAGTGCATCTATTTTTAATTTCACACAATAAATACATTCTGTTTTTAGGTGACAGGATTTGTCTATTCAAATTTACAGGAAAAAATGTTGATTTTTTATTTTATAATATAAGTAGGAATGATAATTAACATATTTTTAGTTAATTTTTACATTAAAACTTTATGTTAATTTTACACAATTTATTTTAAATTACTTGAAGTTTTGCATTTATTTTGTGTTAAAATATTAATACAATATTTGTGTCTCCATTTAATATATACAAATGATATTAAATTAATACAAAAATTTTTGTGGACCGACATGTCTGCTATATTTAGCACAAACTTTTTCCATTGTGAAGAAGTAATGGTTTCCGACAAGGTCTATAAAGAACCTGCTGATCTAGGTATAAGGAATTACCTGACCTTTTTGAAACTGCGACGGTTTAAAGCACGCTGATTTATTTCGCTCGAATTTTTTCCCACATTCTATACTATTGCTGTTACATTCATTTTATCACGGAGTTTCGATACCGGTCTCGTCGAGATCTGATCTCATTCGAAAAACTCAATTTTTTCAAAATGATCGATTTTTTCGTTGACCAAATAACTGTAAATATTAGAAAGAAAGAGAGATGCTCGAGTTACTTTTTAACCGACAAGACTTGATCGAGTACAACGCTTGATCTAGTTAGGGCTGGAGGTGATTTATCAAGCGGCCACATCATTACCAAGGGTGTCCATGTGCTTCGTGATCCGTCGTTCTTCCACCGAAAGAAGAATACGTATTAATTTATATCTGTGCATGCGGCCACCATTGTCATGTTAATCGGATCTCTGGGCATTAAAGCCCAGAGCTTTTCGCTGATGCGTGCGTGCGGTTATTCGCTCTTCCCAGTCACACGCGCACGAAAGTCAAGAGACAACTGATAGAACTGAGTAGAACTTTGTGAAATTCGCCAGACGAGCTTTGCGAAATGAACTTGGCCCTGAGCTACCGCGGCACCCGGAGATCCTACTTCGATTGCATGACCTATACGGAGATTAGAAGCGCGATATTAACGCTTGAGTTAATTGATGGACGCTCGTAAATCAGATACATTTATTATTTTCCATTGAAAATAAGATCACGATGTTACTCTTTTGCTTTTTAACAATGTAATATTTTGCTGTATTTAATTCCCGAACTCTTTGAATGTGAGGGATCGTTCAACATCTGGTTTATCTGACATAATATCTAAAAAAAAAAGAAAAAACCGATGAATGCACCCGCAGAAAACATATGCGTCAGATAATCATTGAAAAAATTACGCCCGTATATATCTACCGTCTTGTGTATGAGAACACCTTGGATAGACATCTTGTTACCCTCATGAGAAATCGGCGCGAAGATCGAAAGATTTTCGCGTCTGGAGAAATATGGGATGAAAATGATTATTATCACGCAATACGTTTGAACCCGGCGGTGGCCCGGGTCGGACTTGCTCCATTTACCACGAAACGTTAACGCGCGCGCGCGTGACTTTTCGGCTTCCGAGATCGTTCCCGCTCGAGGGGGCGGAAGGTGAGAAATTTTCGCGGGAAGGGTTACACGAGGGAGAGAGGATGTGTTTCGCCCCGGGGCCCGAAAAGTCGTTGATATCGAATCCAGGAGGTCGCTGAAATAAATCGTTAGCTCTAGATAGAGGGGAAGAAGGGCTTCCCCTAGGGTCGCGATTGGTTGCTCGGGGATGAAAGTACCCGAGGCCTATAGCTATACGTTTACGAGCTCTTTTTTTTTTTTTTTTTTTTTACGAGTCCCGGAAAAGGAACCGAGCAGCTCGCAAATTGGAGTGTAATTCCTCAAGAGGAGGTGTTGAGCGAGAGGGAAAAAAGCGGGACCAATTGTACACCAAATTTCGATCTTCGAATCTTATCTGAAAATCGGAGATAGGAGATTAGAAACGGAGAGGAAATGCTTATTGTCAGACAAATATTTAATCTTTCAGCCTTAAAATAAGTCACATAGTTTTTCTATACATAAATGATATCCAAAATATATTAAGTGTTCTCTTAACATTATAATGATGTATAATAATTTTCTCGAATTTTGCAGAGAGGTATTCGAAAATCCTGGACTTTGAGAAGAGGATCTATAGAGAACCATAAAGACCACCCGGAATGAAGAAGAAGGAAACTACTCTAGAGTAGGTTTGCATCATCCATTCCCTTCGCTACACATACGAAACGCTACATATCCAAAATATATTAAGTGTTCTCTTAACATTATAATGATGTATAATAATTTTCTCGAATTTTGCAGAGAGGTATTCGAAAATCCTGGAATTTAAGAAGAGGATCTATAGAGACCACCCGGAATGAAGAGAAGGAAGCTACTCTAGAGTAGGTTTGCATCATCCATTCCCTTCGCTACACATACGAAGAACTACGCGCATGCGCCATTTTCAACCCCTTCCGGCGGCTCCTCCCTATGCTGTATAACCTCCCTCCAGACAAAGCTGCGAGCGACTCGTCGATGCAAGACGGAGAAAGAGAGAGATCGCGCCGTCTCCATTCCTCCCCTTGCATTCATTCCGCCCCTCTTGCTCGTTTTCACTCGACCAACATTGGTCCTCGGTTAGATCCTGGTCTCCCGCCATGGCGTGCAATATATGATAAACCGACGAGTGCCGAGCGCGGCCGAGAAGCGTTGAAGCAGACAGGCAGTTGCGAGCGCGTATACGCTACTATATACACGTACGCGACAGACAAAGACTACTACTTAGCAGACGGCGGAGTGTGTGTGCCGCAGTGAGCCGCACGGCGGAGCTACGCCGCACTCGGTACGGGACAGCCCGCCAAACCAAAGGTACCAGATACAGTTTCGTTCGTTCCGTCGTGGGCCAACGAGCGGCCGGCCGGCGCGTCCCCTTATCTTGTCCAGTGGGAGATGAGACATACGCGCGTCTGTATGAGTGCGTGAGAGGGAGAGAAAGAGAGAGAGAATTGTATAGAATTAGGAAGTAAAGTGCTGGTGTACGTGGATCGGTAATCTGTGACCCTGTGCGTGAAAGGACAAAGAAAAATGTAAGAGAGAAGAGGGAAAATAATGTCGGAGCTTGAGTATAGCTGGGAAAGATCCGGGCGAAAAACTTTGCGACTACACCTCGAGCTTGAGAAAGCTTGAAAAATTGGTGGGAAAGAATAGGATACTTCAGAAAATTGTGTGTGAAAAGTGATATATCGCTCTCTCTCTCTCTCTGGCATCTCTCAACCCCTCTGAGGAAAATGTCGTTTTCCGCCCCGCGTCAAGTTCCGAAATTCGACCGAGTATTTTGACGAAAGCTGCCAGTTTCAAAGCGCGAGAAAACGCACCGCACCGCTCGACGGGCGACGCGCAATGAAGGAGGAGTGTATCAAATCACTCCGTCTACTCCTTCGGTTAACTTCGACTTGACTCGCCTCTGCTGCAGAGAGGAGGCAGAACGAGAAAGGTGGAGAAGAAAGAATAGGGTGAGTGTGTGCGAGCCCGCGCGACCTAACAAACCTTTCTCTTTCTCTTTCTTTCTTTCTTTCTTTCGGAGCAAGAGAGGTGGCGCTCGAATTTTGGATGATAATGAAAGATCTAGTAGCTTGATTAATCACGATTAAATTAAAAAATTCCTTCGAGAGATACGATCGACAAATAGTCCAAACGTCAGGTGATGATTAGGGATGGGATCTTGATATGTACTTAAAAATTTTAGTCGAGTTTGATCATTCAAGTGTTCGAATGTTGGATCTATTGTTTTTATTTCTGAGGTACTTGAGAAATTTCAAACACATCTCTCGTTTAGAGATTCATCAGATTACCCTTGAAACTTTTTTTTAAATAATTATGAAAAGTTCGAAACTGCAACCAAACTTACTTGCAAGCTGCAGATCCCATCACTAACTATGATAGGATAGGCAAAATATCGGGATTTCTTGAAGAGAGAATCAAGAAACTCTGGAGTAAAACGCGAGAGGGAACATCCCCCTACAGACACCCCCTGCAATTGACCCACCACCGGGCGCGTTACGTCAAAGCATCCTCTCAGGAGTCGCGAGTTACGCGGAAGTTGGACCCGCGCGATTTCGTCGCGTCCGCGGAGTTCGCTACTCATCAACTTCGTCACCACGAAATCATCAACAGCAGTCGCAGCAGGATCACAACCGCTACCGGCAACAGCACCACCATCATCACCATCATCATCTACCACCGCCACCAGACTCGAGCACCAGTGGCATCGTCGTACCCACCACTACCCGGCGTTACTGCCACCACTGGCCGCTGTTTCAACGCCTCCTGCCTTGCCGGCGGCGTAGTGTCTTCGAACACAGCATGCGTATCGTGCTGCGAAGGTTTGGCGAGTCTCGCGGTGCGTCAAACGAGAAACGTGTCTGTTGTGTGTCGACGTCGACGCCGGCGTCGTCGTCGAGACGTGAGAACAACGTGTGGGTCAAGGGAGTCCGGACTGAAGGGTCCCGCAGAGACCGAAAAATCGCTTCTTCCTAGGCTCTCGAGTTTTAACGCACGCATCGTGTGCGTGTGTGTGTTTGTGTGCGTGCGTGCGTGCGTGCGTGTGGGAAACAGGTTCTTACAACTACGTATTACCGTTTCCGTCAGCGGCTTTTATTTTGGATAGTAGAAGCTCCGGAGAGGATCTAGCCCTCCTCTTCGGGGTTTTTCCGCGTGAAATGTTCGTCCCGATTTTCTACTCTCTTGTTCCTCACTTTTCGCGCGAATGCGAGATTTTGAAATTCGAATCGATATATCGCTTTATCGAAATGCGAGTGCGCGCGATTCTGGCGAAAATAATAATCGTTCAAATTGTTACGATCGCTTCTCTTTTTTGCAACTGTCAACAGCTAAGTACTACGAAGTTTTCGTTATCAATTATGAAAATTATATTGCACCAAAGTATGACGTAATTTGCTGGAGAAAAAATCGAGGAAGAGGCGCGAAATTTTAAAATCATCGCGTTTAACTTGAAAATGATTTCTTTTCATGTTCGGGCGACAGCCGAAAGAAAAAGATAAATATTTCGACTCTGTTCTCATTTTCATTCGAATGACACAGTAAGACAAGACGAATCGAAGAAATAGAATAAACGAATTCCAACGAGAGAAAGAGAAGCGAATGAACAGCGAACTCGTCCCGATTTTATGCTCTACGTTCCTATAGTCGATCGATTCACACATATATTAATAGTCTTCCGTTAAGTAGATATACGTGACTCATACGGGGGCATTTTAATGCATTTTAATAATTCGGAAGATCGATGCCGCGATAAACCGATGTCACTTTGTCAATCTAATTTGACGTCACATCAGCTGTTCTCCGTTCAATTTCGATCGCATCTCTCTCTCTCTCTCTCTCTCTCTCTGTATATGTAAACATCTATTTAGAACCTACGATGGAATTTGAAATGCATTGTTTTGCATATAAATTTCGAACGTGAAAAATATTTTAATTGAAACTGTACGGAAAAAGAGGGGAACCGATTTTTTTCTCGTCCGCCATTACTCATCCGCGATCGTCCTCGGTTATTTATTATTCGCGGTGGCGCGTTATAATATATTTTTTCCACGCTCTTTTTCGAAGCCCGTGCGTAGGCACTCGGACGTCGTTGCGCGCATTAATCCGTGGTTTAGCGAACCAATTTAAATATCAGCGGCGCGCTCGACGCAATTTTATATCATTTCCGATATCGCGCGCTTGTGTGGGTGGGTTTAACGCTGCGAAAGCTCTCCTGCCCCCGCGCCTGCGTCTCCCTTCCCTCCCCTCCCCCTCGCCGACGTCCCCCTACCCTTAAACGCGAACCGTTACGCACCTACGCCAGATATGCGTGCTTTACGATGCGTGTCGTCGCGCGCGCTCCATCGTCTTCTTCATCGACTCGACCGTCCTCGTCCTCGTCGCCGTCGTCTTTGTCATCGTCGTTTGTAAACGAGCGTGTGACCGGCCTCTCGTAACGTCGTCACGACGTACTTTGCGGTATCTCGCGAGAGAAAGAGAGAGCGCGCGCGCATGCGCACGCGCGCCAAGTGCATACAGGGTGGCGCGCCTTCGATTTCGAATTTCGCCCGGCGCCGATGCCGATCGCGATACCGATCGTCTCCGATCTCGATCCCGATCTCTCTCTCCCGCCGGCTCCGAAAGTCCCGATCGGCGAGGCGGTTCTCCCGTCGCGCGCGAAACGATCCGGCCGATCGGGAGACCGGTTCGCTCGGACCACCCTGTATATACGCGCACACCAAGAGCCGGCCGGCGTGCGTGCGTGAGTACGCGGGAATCAGTGCGCGGCCGAATGCGTCGCGTATGCGTGCGCGCCGTCAAACGATTTTGACCGCGACCGATCTTTTTTTCGCCGCGTAGGAAGAGAGAGATCGGTATGTGTCTACGGTTCGCCCTCTTCGCGCTCAACCTGGACAGCAACAAGTGACACTTGGTCAGTCGTGGTGAACTGTCAATTCTCTCCCAGTCCCTCGCGCGGCTTCTTTGTTTCCGCGATCGTGAGAACCAATGCTGAAGGGTCTTGAGGAGGGAGAGATATCTGTTTCGGCGGTTCATTAAGCATTGCGAGGAAGTCGAGTTCGGTAAAATATATAATTACGCGGAAGCGGTCGAGTCGAACGTTAAGAAGGGCCAGGCCAGGAACTGTAGAAAAATTGTAAAGGGTCCTCTGAGGTAGGTCCTCTAGACTCTCTCTCTCTCTCTCTCTCTCTCTCTGTCTCTGAAAATTGACAACCGTCCTAAAGAGATTCGTCAGACCTGAGAAAGACGCGCTCGCAAGTGGTGCAGTCGATGCCGCATCATCTTCATCGATCATCATCGTGGAGCCTGTATACAAGTCATTAGCCATCCGCGACGCTCTCGGAGAGAGAAGATCGGGCGAGTCGAAATCTAATAATAAACGCATCTCTTCCGTTCGTTTCCGTCGCTCCAAGGAGCTCCGGCTGGCTTTTAAGAGAGAAGGAAGGAAGGAAGAGGGCAAAAATGAGCGGGAGGAGAGAAGAGAGAGATCCGCGAGCAAAAAAGGAGCTTCGGCGGGGTACACTTTCGCCGACCTCGCGATGCCGGGCGCGTTCGGCCGAGTGTGTTCGGCTCTCTCCCGCGACAAAGGCCGCTCGCTTGATTCAAGGTCCCACGGATGTGCACGCGCACACGCACCGGCCCTTCGCGCGAGCGCGCGGCCCATTCGTCCGCGGCGCGTTGCTGCATCGAGGACGTGGTCGGGTAGAGTTTCTTCCATATCTCTCTCTCTCTTCAATCATCTGGAATAAATTCGCAGACACGTTGATAAGAATGTTGTTCCATGATTCCGCGTAGAAAATTCCCGCGAGGTCACTCTTCCTGAATTGGAGTTTCAACAATCATCCGTAAAAAAATTCTACAGTCGATATTCTTCGTGATAGTTTCCGATTTTATTCTCTATTATGTGAAATTGATATTGAATTACGTTGATAAGATAATCGTTTGATAATTTTACATAGACGAAAATTTCCTAAAATTTCTTTACTTTCTACTTCAAAGTTTCATTCTTTATTTGAAATGTATAAAATAAGATATAAGATATATATAAGATACGTTGAATTTTAGATAAAGAAATTCCTTAGATAGTTTTATATATATAGACGATATATTTCAAAAATTCCTGAAAGTCTCTCTGATTTATTGACTTGAACTAAAGTTGCGGTGGTTTTCGATTTTATTCTCAATTTAAGGTCTTTTCCAAAGTGTGAAAATTGCTTTAAAAATTGAACATTTTGCGTGATATATGTCGATTTTACTCCGACTTTAATTTCTTCGAATGAAAGAGTTGACGAAATCTCTCGCAATTCCTTGAAAGGTTCGAATCCAACTTGAACACTTGAAGTTCGTCTGTCTTCCTCTCATAAGTCCGTTTCATCTCGCTAATTTCGGCATTACGCTGCGGCAAAAATGGTGCGCGAATCATTCTACTCTTCTTCTTCTCGATGCACGAACAAACAGTATGTCCGATGATGCATGTGTCTAAAAATTAAGCTAAAATTACAGAGATGCATTATCGTTCCACGAATCAGAACCGCTCATTGTTCACTACAAATTGCTGAATTTTTTTCAATCTAAATTTATTTTTATTTATCATAAAACCTATGTTTAGAAAATTATTCTCAGAAATTTGTAAATTAAACTTAGCCAGCAGAATTGAAAATCGTGAGAAGGTTTGTCGCGCCGATTCGGGGAGGAGAAATTTTGTGTCGGTTCAGCTTTGCGAATCGACGAGCGGGTGCGATTTTTCTCGGCGACGTTTCCGTTAGCGACGCACGGCTAATATTAATTCCAAGCATGTGGAATCTCCGGGTCTCTATGGCAGCTGGTTTATATGCGCTTCTCGGAATTTGCTTCGCTGTGGAAGAAAGAATCCGCAAACGACTCGTTCTCTGTCGCGACTGTACAGAGTGATCTTTCAAAAAGGTGCCATGTAATCCGGTGCCTAAATGCGGTGCCTAAATTCTATTTCTAACAAAAATTCCAGCCCTTTCTCTCATTGAAAATTCTTCTTGAATGTTATTGGTATGATGACTCATCTCGAATTGTGTGAGAAAATTGAATGTTGGAATTTTAAGATAAGTGATAGATTAATCATCCTTGACAGTTTCGTGCTTCTTTGCAAGCTGTATATTTATTTAGCAAATAGAATAGTTTATTGATTAAGTCACGCTATTCGTTTGAGAAAATTAGAGATTCTCAATGAGAGAGACCAGTAACTCGCACATATATTCTTTTAGATCACCCTATATGTATGACGCGAGACGGTGATATTGAATTTTTGTGCATGCACACGGTCGAGTCAACGAAAGTGCAAGCGGAGGTGGCGGGCTAACGGGTGTCTATTCTTATTAAACGCGAAATTATATTTGGTCGATTTTAGCAAAAATAGTTGAGATTTAAATATTGTTTTTATATACTGACTGAAATTAATTTATATATTTATTTTAGAAGAATTTTTCAATCAGACTTGTGGAACGAATAATTTTCTTAAATTTATCAATATTGTTACAGATCAAATTTATATAAAATAATTATTTTAAGTAAAGAATTATATGTTACTCCATTTAAAGTTTTTGTAAACGTTACAATGAGATTGCAACCTTTAAAGACTAAAGTTCGCGATATTCAACGTAGGCCAAGATTTATGGACATTAGTAAAGTTCAATTGCTGAGACGAAAACCCTCCTCTTACGATCGTTGCACGAAATTTAGTAAATCCAATTAAACAAGGATCCGTATAATTAGGGTATTTCATTATATATGAGTGATTATATATAGTCCCGGATTTTTAATTAATTTAATTAATTTAGAAGACACGCCAAATATAATTTTATTATATCACGTTATTATATCACGTATATTAATAATTACAAAAAAAAAGAGATCAACACCGACTGGATCACAAATGATATAGCAATAAATAAACATTTTAACGCGCGATAGAAAAACATTAAATCGTTGCAAAATGAATTCGGGAACAGAACGAGTTCAAGTACTTGGACGACAAAAGTAAATTGTATCATTCAAGTGCAGCGCGAAACAGCGGACGCATCTCCGCAAGGTCAAACCGACGAGCGAAAGTTCTGGCCAAACGACAGTGCAAGTTTCCAGCGATAGCGAAAGCACCGGACGGTCACACAGCTGTAAAGCTATTACAGAGTTCGGAGGATGGAGGGTGGAAAACGAGGCGGCCCACATAAGGGGTGGGAAAGCGCGCGGTTTACGTTATATATTCGCGTGCTTTGGGAAAGCTTTCACCTCTAAAGCCGCATGCGCGCGTATGTACGTCACCTAGATATCCTACATACAGGATAGTAGAACATGGGTAGAGAGAAAGAGAACTTGTACTTTTCCCTTCGTACTTACACATACTTTAAACATAATCCGATTATAATTGTACGCAGCTTTTCGTCATTTTTGTCTCTTTCACAAATGTCATATTTTTATTCTACTATTTTATTCTATATTTTTATTTTATTTCCGCATTAATGATTTCGTTAAATAACGATTGCGGGCTGTTTTCGCCACCCTGTATAAAAGAGTTTATTCTGTATGTATTGGCTGTGCAGGGAGAGAAAAAGAGAAAGGCGGGAAGAGGAGATAGGAAGAAGAGAATCAGTGAGAGAACGAGAGAGTAAACATCGATCGCTATTTTACAGAGGACTAGAGTCGGATTTTTGGCGATGGCAACAAAGCTCACACGAGCGCGAACAAATATATCTTGTAAAACAATTAACTGATGAAATAATGTATGCATTTAAATATTTTGGGCGCTCATTTCGTTGATTAATTTTTTTTAATTTTAATTTTTACTGTGTATATACACGGAGACAATATGGTATTGGAAGAATATTTTATAAAAATTTCTCTGATTATTATTTACCACACTAGAAAATATTAATATATACATACATAGTAAAATTAATCAAACATATTTTATATCTTATTGTGGCAAATATTAATATTTTTTATTGTGGTAAACATATTAATCAGAGAAACTTTTATCAAATTCTGTCTGTAATTTAAAAAATCTATATTTTGAATTTCGAAATTTTTAAATAATTTCGCCGATAGGGGGCGATACTTGTAATAACTCCGATCGATTTAGTTTAGTTGGAACAACGCGACGAGTTCGAAGCCATCGTCAGACTTCTAAGCAGCGTGAATGAAACAGGCTAGGCGCAACATGCGCGAATATCAAAGCGAACGTAATAGTAGCCTTGGCTTAGCGATGGTCACGTTATAAGCAAGCGTCTGTGACACATTCTCGCATAGTTTCGCGTCACGTGCTCGCGCTCACGGTCACGTGACATACGTTAGTAATATTTCGCGCGCACCCCCGTTCTTGTTGATTTCTCGCCTTTTACTTTTTGATATGACGCTGACGGATATAATTTTCGTAATAAATTTTTTTAATCATTTTTATTTTCTCCACATGTTACTAATTTCTGACAAACAATTCTCTCTCTCTGTTTCAGATCGTACAAATCAACCGCCTTCAAACAAGCCACATAACCTCAAGTGATTTCTATTTTCTTACGAAGCGCGAAAGAAATATGTAATTAGTATGTTTATATTGACGTAAAGGAAGACGATTAAAAAAATAAAAGAAGAAAAGAAAATATTCCAAGAGCTTAGGTTCAGAAGAAGACAAAAGATTAAGAGCTATATTATCTAATAAGTGTACAAAGTATATCTAACGAAGAAAGAGGAAAGAGAAGAAATAAGAAAAAGAACAGATAAAAATAAAAACAACTCCGCCAGTGCCAAATCGAGGAAGAAAGCAAGGTGAAAGTGATCGATGTAACAGAGAGAAAAAGCGAAAAAGAGTAGCATAGAGTTAGAGCAAGATTTATTTTATCTCGGAATAAAAGGAAAATAACTCTTTAGAGATACGCAGTGTTATCTACAAATTTGCTTCAGAAACAAACGAACAAGTGCAAACGTACTAAAAAGAATAGAAGGAAGGAAAGAGAAAGAGCAACAGACAAAGTAATCCAGTGCGAGAGCAGGACCGTAAACCAAAGAATCTACCATTTTTTTCTATTCATTGAATAACATAACATAATCTCTCGTCAGGTGAAATAATAGTGAGACACACACCGATTCCTTCGTCAGAGCCGATTAAGCGAGCCGGCGCAATTTTTTAGAGGTTTATAGAAATATAACCATAAAATAAGTGCATTTTTTAAAAAAACTGGACGCGTCACGTGACAGATTTTCGCCAAGCGAAAGGAAGAAGAAGCAGACAAAGGGAGGAATCAACCAGATGCGCTTGAACACTCCCAGAGCAACCGATCTACTTCAGTTCGTAGCCTAAACCTGTTGAGTACAAAAAGACACAGAGCTAGAGATATAGATAGAGAGACAGGAAGATAAAGGAGGAAGAGAGTGAGAAGCTGAGTGCGCGAAAAACAAAGGTGTGAAAGAAAACGAGAGCGTAAAAGACTACGTGCGAGGTTAGCCGAAATCGCGCGACATCGAAGAAACTTGTACTTCAGGACGAGAGGATACACGGCGAATGTCAATCCACGTCGTCTCCAAGTCGGATCTGTAGGATCCAGCTTGCGTCCAATGTCGCGTGCGAGAGTTTCGTTCGTCATCCGCTCGAAGAAGACAATCCCCAGATAATCCCCGGCCCAAGTAGAGGAAGTCCGGTGACCGCGAAAACGCGAGAGGATATACGCGCGATCTCAGGAGGATCCCTCGATAAGAGGAAGAGGAAGAAGAAGAAAAAGAAAAAGAAAAAGAAGAAGAAGAAGAAGAGGAGGAGGAGGAGGAGGAGGAGGAGGAGGAAGAAGAGGAGGAAGAAAAAAAAAAAAAAAGAGACAAAAGGATCACCACTGTCAAGTGGCCAGACACTAGACGCGGGGACGGACGTTAACGTCGCGATGACGTGGCGGGGAAGAAGATGAGCGCGGAGGTGACGAAGGAGGTCGTCGCCACCGAGAGGGTCCCGACGAGCCCTCCGGCGGCGGTCGCGACCTCACCGGGCACGGTCGGCGCCGGCGACCTGTCCGCGCGGCATCTGCCGCCCTTCAGCAGCTTCGCCGGCGACAACACGATGGACACCTCGACGACGCTGACGACCCTCCACGCCCAGGACATCGGGTCGGGTCTGATGTCGTCCTGGGATTACTACGAGGGCCTGACCGGTCGGCTGATCGATTCCCGCGGCGAGGTGATCATGGCGAACACTATTGGCGGTCAGTACCGACCGTGGGAGTCTAAAGGCGGCGGCGTAGAGGGTCTACCCAGCTTCGCCAGTCAATTCACCGCCCCGAGCGAGGCCGAGCCGCAGTTGACGGCGCTCACGCCACTATCGCCGGCGTCCATCTCGCACTCGCCGCCGGTCACGTCGGCCGTGGGCCTGCCGAGCTTCCACACGCTCGGGACGCCACTTCCGGCGCCGCACCCTCATCGCGGATCGGTCGGTTATCCCCTGGTCCCGGCGCCGGTGCAGGCTCGGGAAGTCCCGGCGCTTCAGCAGCAGCTCCTCGACGAGCGTCACATACAACTGTTGGGCTCCAGTCAGGTCCAAGCGTTCCCGCCACCGGGTCACCCGCATCACACGGTCCTGACGGTGGTGAAGCCCGACCCTTATCCCCAGCTGCACCACGCGAATTTTCAAAACCCGATGTCGACCGTGCTGGACTCCTCGCCGACCTCGCGACCGATCGGCATCGACGGCCGCAAGAAGGAACGTAGAAAAATCCGGGCTGGCTCCATGGAATCGGAAGATGGCGGCGGTGGAGGTGGAGGCGGCGGCGGCGCTGGTACCGGCAACGTGGAGAGTTCCGGCCAGGTCGCCGCTGTGTCCTCCACCGCGAATCGCGGCGTTCACCACCTCGGCGGCGGCTTGACCGACGGCGACGGCGACGGCGGCCTCGGCGACAAGCCGGCGAAGAAGAAGCGGAAACGCTGCGGCGAGTGCATAGGCTGCCAGCGCAAGGACAACTGCGGTGACTGCGCGCCCTGCAGGAACGACAAGAGCCACCAGATCTGCAAGATGAGGAGATGCGAGAAGCTCACGGAGAAGAAGGTGAGTCGACCAATTTATCAACGCATGCTCGATTTATATTTTATTTTCTCTTTGTTTGTTAATCCTATCGCATTTGTTGTTACACAGGGTGTGTCGAAAATTAAGGGGTTTCCTTATATAACTTGAGTTTTTATTTTTTTCTTCAATTTTCAGATTAATTAAAAAATATCCACCGAGGTTCGTTTTTTAAATTAATCTAAAATTTGAGAAGACAAATAAAAATTGTGTTTTTACCTTTTCCTTCAAGAAGGGATATAAAAGTACATATGTTTACATAAGTCCCTGTGTCTTATCACGTCTTCAAATATGTTTTATCCGACTCATTTTATACGTCAATAAATAAAATGAGAAAATTAATAAAAAGTAAAATAAAATATTTAAAAAAATCAAAGGTAACTTTTTTAAAGAAAGGGTGTTTTAAAATCGCTTCTTAAAACATTTCATCTGACTCTTCATGAAGTTCACTTTACACATGAATGAGAAAGGCGATAGAATTAATCAAAAATAAAATAAAATATAATTAAAATGTTTTTCTTCCTTTCTTGGAAGAGAGGGTGTTTTAAAATCGCGATAAAAACACTCGTGCGACACGATAGTACAGAATAGTATAAACGCGACAGACAAAACGCCGTTATAGAACGATATATATAGCCTGAACTTGGCCTCGATGCCTGAATGTGCCGAGAATCCCTGAGGGAAATACAGAAATACAGATAACCGAGGTGGTTTATTATTGTAGCGACATTGAATAGGGGGTTGGTGGGTTAACTGTTCAGCTGCTACCGCAGCTAGAGATGGCGTCGAACTACCTGCAATCTCGTGTTTGATCAACTACAAATTAATTCGAATCTAATATGTATATCGATGCCGAACAGGAAGCGCATTTATCTTATCTCTCGTCTTGTCCTTCTCAGTTCCAAACATCTAAGTCTCTAAACCTCTTATACATTATGTGTGTATATATTATATATTCTTTCTTATTTTATTTATTTTTATAAGGAAATTTATTTATCTATATCATAATATTTTATATATATAATATTATATAAAGAAATGAATACATTTAATTAATTTTTTTATATACAAAGTATTATATAAATTTATTGTGAAATTTTATATATATATATATATATATATATAATAACAATTACTTTTATTCAATACTCTAAATATATAAAATATTATATATAATATATGATAATTGTATCTATAATATATAATCTAATATAAAAAGAAATTTAAGAGCATAATTATTTATCTTTATACGTTATAATATTTTATAAATATAGTATTATACAAAAAAATTAATACATTTAATTAATTTTTTATATACAAGGTACTATATAAATTAATTGTAAAATTATATATAATAACAATTACTTCATTTAATAATCTTAATATATGAAATACATATATATGATAATTCTATGTATAATATGTATATATAAAAAAGTTCAAGTGCATAATGTGAAGCTGCAATTTAAGGAAAGAAATAGCGCGATTATTTTGGTCTGGTCAGCGATCCGCAAATGTACATGTTCTATATATATACTATATAGGCTTGATGATTATTGGCGAACGCCTTTCGAGACGCAGCTCGCAACAACGGCTCGTAAAACGACTTGGCTTATCGTAGGGCAAGTTCAAGGCTCACCGCGGGTCATAATAATCGCGTATCGAACTTCGTCTCGTTCAGAAACAGACGTGTTGTTTGCCGGGGACACGCGCTCCCGACGTTGCCGTCCACATAATCCCCCGATAACATTCCGCCATTTATCAATTAGCATATTTCGCTGATCGGTGCACATTTTTGTAGCTTTCCGATAACGCGCGCTAATATATATAAATCATTAATCGCTCCTATTTAAAGAGGATCGGAATTTTATTCATCGCCCCACGAATTTCTCACTTCCTCATCGATTCGATTTTGACACTTATTGCAAGTTTACATTATGCACTTGAACTTTTTTGTATATTATATAGTAAGAGTATTAAATGAAGTAATTGTTATTATATATATATATATATAAAATATGTAAAATGACATAAATAATAAATGTAAAATTACATGATAAATAATGAAAAGGTAAACATTTCTATTATTTATCGTGTAATTTTACATATTGTGTAATATATATTACATATTTTTTTACACTGTAATTTTACAATTCATTTATATAATACTTTGTATATAAAAAAAATTAATTAAATGTATTAATTTTTTTATATAATACTATATTTATAAAATATTATAATATATAAAGATAAATAAAATAAAAATAATGGAAGTCTTAAAATTTGTTTCAACTTGAAGGAATTTTTGCGAGGTGGTGCGCGAATTTGTTTCATCCCCCAATCGACAGCGATTTTGGTGTTTTTGCATTTTTGTATATCTAACTCCAAACTATCATCCGTTTCCTTCGCAACTTTTGTGGAATCCAGATATTTCGCAGTCTGCCAGACTGTCCGATTATCTGTCGGAACATCGGACATTCTAGCAGATTCGAGGGAGAGAGAAATACAACTCCAACTTTTTCTCCTACATTTAAAGAGAAATTTAAAAAAAATTTAGTCTTTGAGACTTTAAATTTCTCTTTAAATGGAAAAGAAAAAGCTAAAGTAGTATTCTCTCTCTCTCTCTCGAATCTGCCAGACTGTCCGTTTACCTGTCGGAACATCGTTCTAACTTTGCAGGAGTCCACACATTTCGTAACTCCACAAAAGTTGCGAAGAAAAGGAATGATAGGTCGGAGGAGTTGAGGATCGGTATGTAGGAGGCACGATGCCGTCACAACAACTCCGTATTTCCCTCTTAACACCCTCTTTGTCCCAGGGGAAAAGACGACTAACGGCACCTTTTGCTACTTTTTCTTATCGCGGAGGAAACGGGGCTGTGACTGAAGAACTTTAAAGTTCAGTTCATCGTACACCTGCTGTCAAGAGTCCTCTGTCTCTCTCTCTCTGGATCCCTTCCACAGACTGTGTTGCTTTGATTTTTATCACGTTTCTTCTTGTTTTGACCCGATTTCTCATAAACACATGGATCATCGACCTGCCGTAGCAGCAACATCTTTCCGTCATTCTTGCGATTTTTTTTTTACTCGCGAATAAAAATACAAACAGACTCGTATCGCGTTCTTTTTATAGCTTTTTAATATTAAATTTTATGCATCGCAAACTGTTTAGATCTGAAAAAAGTATTTGTTTATTTTTTTATAAAATTTTATCAAAGATTTAAAAAATAAAATTGTTAATAAAAAATAAAAATATATAAATTAAATTTTTAATTAATTTATTAATTCTCTCGTCTCTTTAGTTTGAAATTAATTTTTTCTTTATCACGTTCTTTTCGTATCTTTAATATTGAACATTTTATTTATCATAAACTATTTAGATCTGAAAAATTATTTCGGTTTATTTTTTTATAAAATTCTATCGAAAATTGAAAAAATAAAAATATATAAATTAAAATACGTAATTAATTTATTAATTCTCTTGTCTCTTTAGTTACGTTTGAGATTAATTTTTTCTTGGATATAATTAAATTCACTATTTATTTAATTTATTTCATAAGTTAAGTAAGTATACTAAAATTATAGTAAAATTTAAGGAGCCGACTTAGCATTCTTATTATTGTTAAGTAAGTATGTTTTACAAGGCTGAGAATAACATTTGGAAATTTTTTACGGATGAGACGCTAAATATACTATACTCGCCCTTAAAAAAAAATTTCTCGAAGGAGGAGGACGAAATAAAATAAATGCGTGGAAGCGTGGCTGCTTTTCGGTTCCGGTTTCTCGATAAATCGAAACAACGGAAGCCCGTGAAAGCCTATAACGGGAGAAGAAAAGGGATCCGTTTTGTGCGAACGAGGGTTTCGGTTACGTTCACTACAGCCCTGTTCTCTCATTCTCTCGACGAACGAGGCAAGTTTCGCGAGTGCATTACGAATGCTTTTTGCGTTATTCGCCAAAGCGATAACCGGATACAATTCTCGGTTGCTCAGGGTTATCTGACAGCCAGGCCAATCAACCCGTTCGCGCTCTTCGTCATGGCAAAATAATGCGACAGGCTCGACGTGGCCATTAAAAATCTCCAACTCTGTGTGCACCAGAGTTTCGATGCACAATGATTTCGGGGGATGCTGCGAAAAGGAAAGGGCGGAATTTACTTGAGGACTCGCTTTTAAGCCTTTCGATGGAATTTACCTTTTTTCGTGGATAATCTTTTTTTTTTTTTTTTTCATTTCTTATAATATTATATAATATATAATGAATTTTTTATTATAATTTGTTTTTATGCACATCAAAATTATAACAATATTTTTTTTATAAAAGAAACAATAATAGTAGTAATAATTAATTTATTGTATATGATAGATAATAATATAGAAAATGAAAAACAGGTGCGAAAAATTTTAGATGATTCTTGGTCGAAAACTAAGGAGGATTTCTTATATAAAATATACTTTTATATATCTCTCTCTCTTCCTGAGGAGTTTATTTTTTCTCAATTTTAGACAGATTTAAAAAATGGAACGAAAATATCCACCGAGTTTCATTTTTTTTTATTTGTCTGAAATTTGAGGGAAAAAATTTACATGTTTATATAAGAAATCCCCCTTAATTTTCGACAAAAAATCGTATCTTAAGTTTCGCATTTATTTAATAAGGCAAGCTTTATTATTAACATCATTAACGATAATCAACGATTCAGTATTTGATTAATCTTCGATATAACTTATCGAATCCATATCGCTTTATTTCTTTAGAATTTGACAGATTATCTCTCTTGACGATGAAAAAAAAAAAAATAAATAAATAAAAATGAAGAAAGAAAGCAAAACAGGGAATTAAAGGCATCTTTCGCTCGCGAATTTTTTTTAATGAATCCCCCTAAAAATAAACCAAAATAAAGAAAGAAAGCGAAACGGAGAATTAAAGGCATCTTTCGCTCGCGAATTTTTTTTAATGAATCCCCAGAAAAACTCGCGCTTCCGA